AAGGAAAGGGCTGAAAACGCATTACCGTCTCCAATGCAGCGAGGGTGTTTCTGAATGGTTGGTGCCCTGAGAAAATTCGCTGCGCTCAGAACCTGATTCTTGAGTTTCTTGCGACGGTGGTCGCATGTGGGTTCAAAAAAACCATATTCATGCGCGAGAAAATACGAACGGGAAAAAACGAATACAAGGATGACATGTCCTTCCTTCGTTCTTGAACCAAAGTCACCCTGCAAGTGGGGGCATCGGCACGCAGGATGCACGCACCCTACTCCTGGTTCGGCTATCCCGCCGGGAAGGCGACAGTCGGGTTGAGGACTTGGGGCCGGTAGGACTTGGGGCCGGTAGCCAGTTGTCGGAACGACAGGGCCTGAGTTGCAGCCATGCAGCAGGGATTTCGGGGTGTAGGATTCGCCCTTTGGGGGTTAGGGGGGTGGGCACGGGTTTAAGCCTTATAAGGGGCTTAGGCATCACAAGACTAAACAGCTGGGATCCCCAAGTCCGAAGCATTGGGGCTTCCGGTAGTCACGCCGCCCCCTATTGAGACAACTTGCTTCGTAGGCTGGGAGCTGGGTAGAAGCAAGCTCGATGGGTGTCAGCAAGTTCGATGAGGATAACAAACCAACTAACAACGGTCAAACAAAGACCGTTGGCACTTATCGAAGGACCAAGGACCCAATGAGCCCAATACCCCTTAATTAAGGAATATTCCTTAACTCATAATTAATGAGGAGGATCCTTGTATAATTTAAGCTATATTCCTTAATTAAGGGGTATTGGGCCCCTTGTTTTTTTAACCCCCCACCTGTTTTTTTAACCCCCCCCCCCCCTCCCTGTTAGACGCGGAATCCCCTTTTTTTTAACCCCCCGCCACGGGGAGGGGTATTGGGCTCTCTGGGGATGGGAGGAAGGGAGGCTTCTTGGCTTTTTTGGCTTGGTCGGCTCTGTTGGCTTTTGGCTTCGCTTCTTGGCTTGTTGGCGTTCGCACTTTGACGTTGCCTTTTCCAAACCCTAAACCCTAAACCCTAAACCCTAACCCTAAACCCTAAACCCTATAAGCAAGACAGAACCCATCGCGGCAAAGGAGCTGCGCTCCACCCAAGCCCCCTGCCATCAACAAGCCCAGCCACAGCCAACCCAACCATGCTATGTTTTTCTGAGCAGTAAACTCTAAACCCTAAACCCGAAACCTTAGCTTGACATGCAAGACCTGTCAAATGTGTGTAAAACGCTGGGCAAAGTGGTTGCAAATCGGGGAACATAGGCCCCTTGCTCATGAAATCAAGCAACGGCACTTCGTTGTCAATCCGCCGAACGGTTTTGACGTCCAACACGAGCTGGGCGGCAGAAGCCCCCCAATCCAAGCCAAAACCAGGGCGTGTGTTTCAAGTTGAGTTTTGGGTTCTTGGTTTTGGGTTTGGGTGTGGCATCTCGCAGCCAAAGCCAAGCCGGTCTGTCGAGGCCAGGTTGGTTCGCCGCAGCCAACCCAACCAAACCATTTGTTTATTTAAACACTAGGTAGGCCCTTGGGACATTTTATATTTTCCCTTATTTGGGTTTAAGAGCATCATATTCAGGAATATTTTTCAGAGGGTTTTAGGGGCCATCCTAGAACACCTTTGAAACCAATGGAACACTTGAGCGAACGGCCGTCATTCATGGCTTTTGGGGCTTGTGAACAGTCGGGAAGACACTGTTTGCGAGCTGTGAAAGACTTACTTAGCCAATAGTTGAACTTTAAACTTTTTGGGCTTCCTTATTTAGTAGGAACTGTATAGTTTAACCTTTTTTCCTTTGGTTATTAGAGAGGTAAGAAGAGGTGCCGTAAGTTGCAGCATTTGGAGCCTTTGAAGAGTCAGAAGCGTTTGGATGAAAGGGTTTGAAGCCTGAGAAGCAGAAAGGCTGCAATTCACAGAGCTTGGGGCTTGTGAAAAGGCAGAAGCTTGCGAACTATCAGCCATGCTGTAGATCACAAGCAGTCAGACATGCTCTAATTTGCAAAAATTCCCAGCCTGCGAATAGTCAGAAGCGCAGTTGTGTACGGCATTTAGAGCACTTGGATCCGTAGAGGATGCTTCAGGGAGCCGGCCCTTAACTTTCGGGGTGGATGATTTGTGATCTCTTGTCAGTTTTTATCGGTCGCCCCAAGCCAGTGCGCTATTACAGGGCCGTTCTTTCGGGGGGGGGGGGGGGGGGTTTGGGGTTTTGAGGTTGTAGCAGGCGAATCGGTTTGAACTGACTGGATTGAACATTTGTGGCGGCAAAAGCCTGCAGCAGTCCAGACATGCAAGGTTGTGTCCTTTAGCCGGAATCTAGCACCTGTTCTAGACTGCATTTGGTTGTCAGAAAAGGACGAAAAGTCCTCCAACACACACGAGCACCGAAGGTGGACTCACATGGTTGCAGCTTGAGCTGGAGACCAGATCCTTGGCCCTGTCGTGGTCCCTAAACCCTAAACCCTAAACCCTAAACCCCAAACCCTAAACCCTAAACCCTAAACCCCAAACCCCAAACCCCAAGCGCCGGGCCGGTGTGAATGCTAAGAGGGTCCGAGGTTCCCCAGAGAGCCCAATACCCCCTTACTGAAGGAACATAGCCTAAATTACATCAAGGGCTCCTTATTATGATTTCAGGAATCTTCCTTAGTTAAGGAATATAGCTTAAATTATATAAAGGGCTCCTGATTGTCATATTAAGGAAGATATAGCCTAAATTATATAAAGGGCTCCTTACTATGATTTAAGGAATCTTCCTTAATTAAGGGGGTTCTTGGGCTCTTTGGGTTCTCGACTGAACAAGAGCGACAAAGCATCGATGCAGGTGCCCCTTCTTAGCCCTCAGAGTCCGAACCTCCCAATCGATTGACTAGGTAGGCCCTCGGGATATTGTATAGTCTCCCTTATTGGGTTTAAGAGGATCATATTTAGAAACATTGTTCGAAGGGTTTTATGGGCCATCCTAGTTGAGAATGCAAGGGCCGGCGTTGGTCAAACTCAGGACCATTTCCCGACACGAAGCTCGCCGTGTGCGAAGGTGGCCGAAGAATGCTGGAGAACTTCTGTGTCTGCTGTCAAATGCTCAGGTAAGTTTAGTATAGGGGCCGTAAGAATTTCTAGTATTCCCTTAGGGCCCCGTTATGAATATACTAGAATAACCCCCCCAAAACCCTACTCTAATTATTCAGGCTCCTATATTAGGGCCTTCTGCAACAACCAGCTCTGCTCTGCTCCTCTGCTCCGTCCCCCTGGTTCTTAGTAGGGAATGAGGGAATGAGGGCCCTATAGAATCCCTAAACCCTAAACCCTAAACCCTAAACCCATCTCCCTACTAAGAACCAGCCAGCCGTTGAAGATCTGTGGGAGGCCCCATCGAAGCGGTGCTTGGCGACCTTTGCGTCTCGCTGACGCCGGAGAGCGGGGGGGGTCGACCTTAGAAGTTCCCGAAAATCTACTATTTGCTGAAGAACACCAAAAAATATGAAAGAATAATCCCCTTTTTTCGCCCTTATAAGGAATAATGTTTTTTTCATTTTGGGGGGTGATCTTAAGTTAAGCAAGTAGTAGCAATCAATTCGCAAGACTTCAGCAAAGCTTTTGGCGGAGACGGGTAGTTTGACTTGACCCGAGCCCCCAAATCCCGAGTCCCGAATCCTACAACTTGAAAGCCTGACACTCCGACGCCCTTCCAGGCTGGAAAGACTCCATCTTTACCCCCTGTGAATGGGATTGATGGGCAGCCTCAGTTCATACATCCATCTGCAAGGCTTTGTTAAGTTGCAAGATTTCGTGTCTTTGTAGCACACAAGACATGGCACCTGACCTTTTTGGCATTTCAGATGATTTTGACATTTTTTCTCCGCTTGCAAAAGTGAGTTTCCGAGAAGGACCTCCGGCTGCGTGCGAGACTGAGCGAAAGACTTGCACTGGACTGCGGCGTGGCCGCTCGGATGTTTCAGAGATCATGTTAGGGTTTAGGGTTTAGGGTTTAGGGTTTGGGGTTTGGGGTTTGGGGTTTAGGGTTCAGGGTTTAGGGTTTGGGGTTTATGGTTGGGTTTTTCAGTTGGGGGGGGGGGGGGGCCCTCGTTCAGGAAGTAACATTGGCATTGGAGATTTGTGAGAGTACGTATGATTTGGAACTTGGCAGCGTTGCCGTCTACTTTAAGCATGCCGCAGGCAATTCCGCTGGCCCATCGCATTTCTAGGCTACGTGGGTTCTAGGCGTTCTAGGTCTTAGGAGCATGGCTGACCTTTTCGTGCAGGGATGTCGTGGGGAAATTGAAGAAACAAGTTCGGCGCGTTGCGGTGGTTTAGGTTCAGGGTGGTTCGAAGAGAGGCTGTGCCTGTGACATTCTTGGAGGCAGAAATCCTGCCCCAGTGTTGTTTACAAGGCCAGCTTTTGAGGAAGGGAAGAGATTGCGGGATTCTGGACGGATTGGAGTCGTCTGATTCCACTCCGTTACTTTCCCAGTCTGCGGTTTTGCTATTCCATTCAGAGACGCCCTACTACATGGCTATGCGTCCTCAGGTTCTGAACTGGTCATCCCCAAGTAATGTTCTGTTCAATCGCATAGAACTGGACGCCCCCCCCCCCCCCCCCCCCCCCCCCCCTCCCGAACCCTGACCCGTTCACGCTCACGGATGAGGGAAACACTAAAACCTCAACCCTAAACCTTGAACCCTAAGCCGGACACCCGAAACGTCCTTTGCCATGATCCCCTGAACTTTAAGCCCACCACCACGAATTTTGGGGGAGAGTGGAAGCCCCTCAACCCTAAACTCTAAGCCCGCCATGAACCACGGGGAAAATGAAGCCCAAAACTAAACCCTACACCCAGCGCGAACCACAGACCATGAACCACAGGGGGAAGGGGGAACTCCCAAAACCCAAAACCCACCATGAACCAGTGGATGCTGGCGCACATCGACTCCAGATTCAAGAAGATACCCAGACTCTTTGCGTGACCTTTCTCTGGAGAGGACTCCTCTGTCCCGAGCGCGGGCCACATGTCGCACCCTGGCACCGCAGGTTCGGTGGGGTTGGTGCCGTTCGACTGATGAAAGTCGTGTATTCTGGAGATTCTGGAGCGTTAGCATCTCTCGTTATGAGAGATTTCAGGTTCAGACGTTGAGGCTCTGGATGTGTAAAGTTTCGTGACATCTTGAGCCTGAAAGCCTTGAAAGCCCAACGCCCGACACCTCCACTTGCTCAGTACTTACTGTCGGTTAGTAGGGAATGGGGGAATTAGGGCTCTATATAGATATATATATATATATATATACATATTTTTTGTTTTACCCTTTAAGGGAATATATAGGGTACCTCAGTCCCCCATTCCCCGCGAACCAACAGTAAGAGTATGAAGCCCCAAGGCTGTACGTGCAAGGCGCTTCCGTCCTTCAAGACCCGATGTGTCCAAGCTGCACAGAGGGTATCGGGTTTTGCACATTGGCATCCAGCATCACGCTCATGAGCTCCTTCACGCCATGATCTTAAGAGAGCTGTGTGTTACATCGACCCAGGTACCGGTTATTGGGGCCCCGCGGCCCTCACCACCCACCCGACCCACACGGCCCACCCCCACGGGCCGTGCTGGAGCTCAGCGCCTCGACGATCCCGAGGCTCATTCATCAGGCGGGGGGGGGCGTAGCTCGGGGGCGTAGCTCGAGGGCGAGGACCATTTTCAGGGTTTTAGGGCTGGGTTATTGGCAGTCTTAATGGTCACGCTGTTTCGAAGAGGATACCTGAAAGACAGTTTGCAAGCTTGAAAGGTCCAAGGGACCGCAGCACGAGTTTGGGTTTCTGATGTCATTGGAGAATTGGCGGATCTTGCGAAAGCTAAAAATCCAATGCAGCTCGGACGCCTCGAAAGCCCGAAGCCAGGTGTGGCTTGGGTCCGGTGCACCCGACCTCCTGATCAGTACCTGGCAGGCCACTCTTCGGGGCTCCAGGCTTCACACGTTCATTGGCACAGATGCTGCTGTATTTTGTGGATTGCAGGGAGTGCGCCCTCTAAGACTCTAAGATGCTCCCGCATGTCTCATCGGACTTAGAAGGAGGGCTCCGGCGGATGTGTTTTTTGTTTTTGCGCAGGCTTGGGGTCTCAAGGTGCTTGCACGACCTTGCAGGTCTTGGGATATCTGGTCGCAACCTTCTGAACCCGCCAGAACCCGAGGCCCCAAACAGCAAACCCAAAGACCTTCGGACCTTCAGTCCCTCCCTACACACCAAACTCTGGACGAACCATCGCAAAGTCTGCCTGACCCTGAACGCACAACACTCGACAACCTACATCTTCAATTCCCAGGCCCGACACCCCACACTCTTGATCTGCAAAGCTTCAGCCCTCAATGCTGAACTCGGCGAAGCCCTCAGACTCTGCAAGGCCTACACCCTCTTCGCGCCAGAAAGCTGGGTGCACCGCCTCTGGCAAAGCAAGGAAGAGGTCCACTCCCCAGCGATTCGCAAACGCTTGCTGGTGCTCGTGCTTCATAGTCAAGTGCACGATGTAGTTCTTGTCATCATGATTACTGTCATCACGGCGGTGTGAAGATCTACGACCAAACATGACAACTATGCGGACGAAGACTTGTTTGAAGTCCAAGAAACAGAGAGAGAGAGAGAGAGACACAGAGAGAGACAGAGAGAGAGAGAGAGGGAGACAACCTTCCATTTCGACCCTTGTCTTTTGCCTACAAGGGTTCTTTATGCTTTGAGATTTCGGCAGCTTTCTCAATCCGCCGACGCCTCAATAAAGCATGTCGGCTTAATTTCCTTGCCGAGCGTCTTGTTTTCAGCTCTGGGCCGAAAGGCCTCAACTTCCAAGCTACGGGTAGCAGGATTTTTAGGCTCGGGGTCTTCAGCGTTGCCCGGGGATCCCTGACAAAGCCACAAGGAAGCTTGGATCACGGAACCCAAAGAGCTTCTTGCCCCTTAACTGAGGAATATTCCTTAAATCATAATAAGGATCCCTTTTATCATTTAAGCTATATTCCTTAATTTAGGAATATTCCTTCAATCATAATCAGCCTCCCTTCATATTTTAAGCTATATTCTAATTTAGGGGTATTGGGCTCTCTGGGAAGTTGTGCAGGTCGTGCAGGCTTTGGCAGAGGTCGAGGACGACCTGCTGAGAGACTGGCGCCGCCTCTACGATCAGGAGCTGCGATGTAGAGGGCGCACGAGGAAGCCATGCTATGGGGTTTAGGGTTTAGGGTTTAGGGTTTAGGGTTTAGGGTTTAGGGTTTAGGGTTTAGGGTTTAGGGTTTAGGGTTTAGGGTTTAGGGTTTAGGGTTTAGGGTTTAGGGCTTGGAGGTTCAGGGCTGAGAGTGCAGAAAGCCCGTTGGGGTTTAGTTGGTGTCCGAACGTAAGCTGGCATTGGTGTCTAGGGGGTCCGCAGTGCATTTCCGGGGATGCTCGTACGAGCCCTTGATCAGAGTTCACCTTCGGAAGCCCCTTGAAGAGCCTGGAGACATCGGGGCAGGTTCTGAAATTCTGCCATCACAGCAGAGGTCTTTCACGGGACTGGATTTCTGAATGGTGGATCCCAAAATTCTGGATCCGAAATCATGGTCAAGGACCCTTTCGAAGCACTTTTGGCCGGAGGCCATGCCCCACCCCAAATAAATCTTTGTTCTGCAGGAAGCGACCCTCGCCGGCAGTTCAGACCTCATCCGTTGGGCGCTACTCTATGCCACCCGGTTCTCAAGGCTTTGGACATTAAGGCCTCGGTGGCTTCGGGTTCGGCTTTGGCTTAGGGTTTGGGGAGCCCTAAACCCTAAACCCCTTAACCTGTGGGTGATAGTCTGTGTTTGTCTGCAGGGGTGGGGGGGGGGGGGGGGGGGGGGGGGGGGGGTGCAGAGTCGAATGTTCCCAAAGAGCCCAATACCCCCTCATTAAGGACTATTCCGTAAAAATCATAATAAGGATCCCTTTATAATTTATGCTATATGCCTTAATTAAGGGGTATTGGCATTGGGCTCTCTGGGTTTATGAGCTATGGTGAGGCATTTGGCGGAGTCTACATCGATGCAGATGCCCTCTGGCTGCCCGGACGCAGTGCCGTCATTGCTATGTCCCAAAAATGTTAATGCGCGGTTGCGTGCTTGCGTTCGTGGGTGGGTGGTGTTGGTGTGTGTGGGCGTTGGTGTTGGTGTTGCTGGTGGTCGTGGTGGTTGTGACGGTGGTCGTGGTGTGTGTGTGTGTGTGTGTGTGTGTGTGTGTGTGTGTGTGTGTGTGGGTGGGTGGGTGGGTGGGTGGGTGGGTGGGTGGGGGGGGTGACAAAAGTCGCGGCACATTTGGTTTAGAGCACGACCAGTCAAATGAAGAAGTGGAGTGGTGCATGCCTGTTGGAGTGGTGAACCGAAAACACTGTGCCTCGACGTACCTGCAAGTGATGCTGGACGCAAAATCATCAAGCATTTTCCCTGTATGGTGGTGCATCCTTACTGTTGGTTCCAAAACAGATTGAGCATTCCATCCGCGTTTCGGAACATGAGCTGCATTGCAAAGTGGAGTGTTTCCAGATCTCACATCATGAAGCATTGAGCAGTGTAAACCAGAGAGCGGTGTAGCAATGATAAGCACATTGTTTGCCTTGAGTAAGCAAGAGAGATCACAAAGCAACTATACTTACACAATATGCCCTTCACACATCTCTTACATCAGCCTTCTTCTCATCGCCATGAACCTCTGTGCTACATGCCGTGATCGAGCAAATTTGTCGGCATCACAACCAAACAATGAGATTAAGTGTGGGTGCCTTCGTGCATACTTACGCATGCGTGCGCATGCGCGTGGCTTCGATAGGTTTTCTGCCTCGCTGATCAATCCTATCATTGTTTAGGCATTCTGCACATTCCCAACAGAAAAGGGATGCCCGCGGTTTACTTTTTGCCTCCTAATCTGCACGCGACAGAATCACAGCGAACAAAGAAGCTAGGGACATGCCAATGTTGAACGCGTGGCTATAGACTCCCCAAAAGTGGCTTAGCTTGGCCTAGTAGTAGAGTAGGTAACCTTTAACCTTTTTTGGGGTAGTATAATCCCCTTATAATCCCAAAGGTTAGCCTTTAATTCCCCCAGGTTACGGGACAACCAAGTTGGGCCCTACAACAGACTTCAACTCGTGCCAACCCAAGTCTCGATTGCAACCAGATCCCTCTTGTGACGCTTGAATCTTGGAAGCCTCGAGCAGCGCAACAAACCCTAGATCCCTAAACCCCTAACCCCCGAAACCCCTGAGCCCCTAAACCCCTAAACCCTAAACCCTAAGCCCTGAAATGAAAGAGAGGTTGGGACTTCCCAGCACGCTCGAGCGCGCCGGGCCAAGAACTGACAAACTGAGGGTTGGAGGCTTTAACGGGCTGTAACGTTTTGATTCGGAGGCTGCGGGGAGAGGTAAAGGGTACGGAGCTTTGGGTTGAGGGGCTCAGGGCTTGGCACCTGGAAACTTGATGTGAGCCACCCAAGCCTATAGTAAAGTCACGGTGAGAAGACCTGACAGCAGGGAACAAACAGCGCGCAGCATGAGTTCCCATGGCTCTGACGCACCAAGTTCGACATGTTTTGCGTGGCTGCAATCGATGATTCCTGGTCGACTGAAACCCATCTCAACTGAATGTCAGGCCATTTGGGCAACGCCAGCTTTGTGGCTGCATGGGAGAACAAGAGGCCCGAGTCCGCAGCAAGTGTCGAGCGCAGCATTTTGAGACCCCAGAACAATCCCAGACCCCAGGCTTTGAGCCTGAAGACTCCCCTGATCTACCATGCACCCGGGTGCGGACATGTTTTCGAACCTCCCGTGTTCCCAGAACCCATGCTGTCCGAAGGTTTAGTGGACAAAGTTGAACATCCAAATTCACGGTGGGCTTGATTTCTTTCACGAAGTACATTTGACTTTAGGTAGGCAGATGCTAGTAGCCTTGAGGACATTACACCTCGGGTGCTTAGGCACAGGTCACCGCAGGTCATCGTGCCGGAAGGTTTCGGTATGTGAAACCGGGTTTATATTACTGTTATTCGTGAGTGTATATAAGGTTCCTTTTTAATATTGGTGAGCGGTACATATTGGGTGTCCTTTCGGAGGTACAAGGAATATACACCGGACCTCACGTCACGACGCAACTTCACAAGACCATGGCCAATGCAGAGAAAACAATCGGAAACCGAAACAGCCTTGAAGGTCTCCCTTCGTGGCCCCATGCCTGCACGTCATTCCATCTGTTTTGGGCTCCAAACAGAGAGCCTTTAGGAAGTGTTCGGGGTCCCTTCGTTAAAGTGTGACGTGAAGGGGGTGGTTTCCCTTGTCAAACTGAGATCTCACACCAAGGTGTTGTTTGGGGGTGCTGTGGTACAGCAGGCGCCATGGGTGTACAGACAACAAGGTAATTAGCTACAGTTGACCAACAGTGCAAGTGAGGCTCGACTCCAGTTCGTGCAGCTGTAGAACCCAAAACGCTAAGCCCCTAACTCTTATACTCCGTAGAAATGGAAGGCCAAGAATGTGGTGTGGGCTCATTCGGCATAAGCCTTCCAAAGGAAGGGATGAGAATCGTGTTTCCGGGTCCAAGCTTGCATTGCCCTAAACCCTAAACCCTAAACCCTAAACCCTAAACCCTAAACCCTAAACCCTAAACCCTAAACCATGGTGAAGCTGCAAGGTGCCTGCTGTTTTGGGTGTTGTGGGTCTACGCTTGGGCTTCAGGCCCTTCAGGCTTCCGAAACCACAAGCCCTAAGCCGCTTAAGCCGCCAATCTCCCTAAACCCTAAACCCTAAACCCTAAACCCTAAACCCTAAACCCTAAACCCTAAACCGGGCTAGGGATTCCCTTGTCCCGATGGTCTGAAGCACGTTTGCTCCCAAGGCCTCATGGTGCCAAAGCAGTTCTCCTCGACTTAAAAATCCTAACGCTGCGCGACCCGCCTCGGGCTGGGGCCGCGGGGTGAGGCAAGGGCCCTCCCTAGAAAGCTCTCTGGGAGACAGCGGGTAGGAAGTCCAGGCAAATGGGGAGGGGGATTGGGGGTCCAAAAACACCCTCCTCCTAGTCACTGACATCTTGTCTCCTCAAACCCCCAAAGTCAGAAGGCAGCGCCTTTGCCTCAAAACTCCCAGACGGAACCTTTTTGCTCCTTAATTTCCTGTCAAGCCCTGACCCAATGTCGAACCTTTGCACGAAACACCTCCAAAGCCAGTCTTAACAAAGGCTACTGGAGTCTTGGCAAGTTCGCGACATGGCTACGTAGCTGGTCACTCAGAATGGCTTGAGTGTGCATGTATGGCCAGCAGCATGCAGTCAGGCAAGGTTTGGGGGCTCAAGGAAGTCTAAGAGACTGAAGATGGCAGAGGGTCGGTGTTGGATGCGATTTTTCGATGGAAGTTCACGACGTCTTTGACAGGAGTGGTTGCAGCCGCGAGTACAGCTAAACTGAACCACTTTCACGGAGATGCAAACCCTCGGCACCATCAAGACATGTCCCACAAACCCAGGAGGTCGGCACCATCAAGACATGTCCCCAAACCCAGGAGGCTTCAAGCAATCCGCAGCAAGCCTACCTCTGATCAGGCTCGACAAGTCTTAGAAATGCAGGTTCAAAGATGCCAGCGCCTCGCCTGCAAGAGGGAAAGTTTCGGGTGCAACGCCAATCCCTTTCAACTGAGTACAGTTTGTTTCAAGCAATCCAAGCAATAACCTCTGAGGGACTGAGTATTGGGAGGGCTCAACTGGTTAGTAAGTGGAAGTAGGACTGATTTTATTGCTGCATGTTGTTCCTTGCTGCAACAACGACTGCCAGCGCGCATCTGCGGATGCGCAGCATTCCAATCTCAGATGTGCAGTTCCCTGTGCCTCCTGATGCCGCACGGGCCAAAGAAAAAAGAAAAAAAACAAAACGATTGCAGTCAAGCAGACTACATGAATGCAGCGTGGGACGAGAGACCGTCAAAAAGGAAGTGGTGTTTGTTCTCCGTGCTACAAGCAGGATCGCCAGACGCATGCCCTTGTCCAGAGGCGAGATGGATGCGCTTACGAAGCACAGGGGGGTCCTACCACAACAGATCCCAAAATACTATGACTATGATTAAAGATTCCTCCTCATGAATACCACGAAACATTGACCAAGGAAAACATCACTTGTGGAGTACAACAATTCCCGTGACAGCCGTGGACTGCAGGCCTGTGTATCACAATCTGACGGCTGCCCTTGAGAAGGACAAAGGAATGGCCATGAAGATGCAAGTACAATCTCAACTTACGCCGGAGGGCTACAAATCAAATGCTTGTGGATTGGTGAGGAGCATCATGAACTTGTTCCGTAAGGCGATGTCCGAAGGTTTATTTGTTCAAAACTTTCCATGCACATGCGGCAGTATCTCAGAGGCTCAAACCAGTAAACCCCCTACACCCTCAGATCCGTCCTCGCTAGACTCGAAGCCACAAGGTTGGAAAACTGATATCTTGCGAGCAGTAGCCGCAGATAAGGCACTGCCGCCTGGATTTGGGCCGCAGCCCCTGGGATGTGTTTGCCAGCGGTGCGTTGACGAGCTGCCGGCATGTTCTATATCCCCCATGGGATTTTTTTGGTTATATAAAACCCAAGAGGACATTGAACATATGACTTTTATTAAGGTTCTAAGGGGAGTATAGTGTTGTCCTTTGTCCTCGAGGGCTCGCCAGGTTGATGGAATCATTGACGGACTCAGTGGGATGCAGTCGGAATCTTATACCCTAAACCCTACACCCTGAACCCTGGACCCGAAAAAGCTTGAGAAAAAAAAATGTTGCTGCAGTCCTGTGGCTGTGGGTGATTTCTTGGCTTCACAGCTGGTCTTGAGGCGGAGGGGGTCTGGAGGAGCAGCCTTGAACATGAGGGTTTAGGGTTTAAGACCGAAGGTTTCGGTACTTTCACACAGCACTCGCATGTCGTGCGCACTGTTCATGGGAGTAATCTAAAATGCCGCCCTGTCCGACTCATCCGGATGTATGTCGGAGTCTCGACTACGACTAATGCTACACTGTTTCCTTTCAACGCCACTGGCGGCTAGGCTCACGCAGTAGACATGCTCCCCCTCGGTGAGACACGCACCTGAAGTCTGGAACCTGTCTGAAACTATTCCATTCCACAAGCATTCCTCAAAACCATATGAGTAGGCAACTGCTGGTTGCCGGAGACCAGCTCAAGGATGAAGAGGCCTGCAGGGGTGTGGACTCTTGGGGCAGGGGGGGGGGGGGGGGGGGGGGGGGGGGGGGGGGGGGGGGGGGGGGTGGAGGCTGGCGGCTTGTTGTTATGGATTTGCGGGTGTTTTGTGTGAAAGCTTTCATGGCGCACCCGAACATTGGGTCTGTGACATCACATCGGTTCAAACCAACGCCAAGGGAGCCGAGACCGGAACCCTAAACCCTGAACCCTGAACCCTAAACCCTATACCCTAAACCTCAGCCAGGTCAAAGTACTGGACCCGGGTATCTTTTATCCAGTTCGCCACAGTTCCGACCCTTGGCAGAAGCACGGCTTCTATTTGCCAAAGCTCCGAGGCTGCACTAAGCTGCCTGTCTGAACCTAGAGTTCTCCACTCGCGTAGCCAGTAGAGTCGCAGGTAAAGCTGCCAGATTCAGTGTAAGTTCTCCGTCCTGCATTCAGCAGTGTATCGGTTCGAATCGGTTCCAATCGGTTCACGTTGCACACCCCCCTGCGTCCGATCTTGCCAAATGGGTGGTTCTCAAAATTATGATCCTTTTTGGATCCCTATTATAATACGGCGCCTAATATTTAGGGTACCCCAAAAGGGATCATCATTTTGACAGCCACCCAAATGTCAAGTATGTTTCTGGGGGCAGAGGAGGAGGAGCTGAGCAGGCCGTTGCTTGACAGCTGCGGTGCGAAGCGATGGTGCCATAAGGGGTTTAGGGTTTAGGGTTTAGGGTTTAGGGTTTAGGGTTTAGGGGGGTACGTGTCTGGGTCTGGCTTTGGCAATGGCCATTGCTTGCACTGTTGGTGTGGCATTGGCGCAGCAGCCCTTGCTCAATTCCTCAATCAAGAAGAAGCTGGTGATGCTTGTTGCCATGCAGCACAAGGCAAGCATTGTCCATGGAATTCAGACCACACCGAGCTACAGCTGGGGGACATCTTCAGACTTTCCAAAATCGCGTCCTTGGGTTTACGAGAACTTTGAGGAGTGCATGTTGGGGTTCTGGTTCTGGGTGCCCATAATGTCAACCTTTTCAAGCAGCGTATTCAACAACGAAAAAAGGCTTTGTTATTGTGCCTATATCAATAGCACAACGGCTGCGGATGCTCACCACCGCAGCAAGATAGTTAGCTGGTGTGTGGAGGACTATCGAGGGAACAGTCATGGAGCTAAAAACTGCTTTGCAGACGTTTGTCCGAGCGCAGTCCAGAAGTGCACGGGCCCGCCCTGCTTCTAATAGTTTAAAACTAAGCTACCTTAACAATCCGTAGGCGTAGGCCGGGGGTACTGAGGGCGGTGGGTGGCGGCCAACGAGGGAGTGAGGGCGTCCCCGAAAAGTGTGCCGCGTGGGTTTCCCCGTTTCCCCGAAACCCCCTGGGCCCCGGTTGCCTCGCACCCCTAGGTTCAGGGCTGCTCGAACCCCTTCAAAAGCCCCTCGTAGGAGTGCCTGTGGAGTGCCCTACCTGCTTTTTTTAGGCCGGAGCTACCCGACCCCTTCAGGGCTTTCAGGGCACCACCCTGATTGGCCCCCGGTCTTGCCAACCCCTAGGCGCCCGATCCTCTCCCCGGCAAGCACACTTTCATGGCCACGAAGAACCTTGCAGGGAAAAGGGAGACTTAGACAGGGACAACCCTGTGCAATAGCAGGTGATCTACTTAGGCTTAGTACCATCAACTGTCTCCCGGACGGTCCACCGTGGCAGAGCTTTGCCGATAGTCTTCCGGACGTCCCACCTGCCATTCGGCCGGGCTGGGTTTTGGGCTTCCCAAGCGCCGCTCAAACCGTGTACACGAAACGAGAAAGCACAACGATACTGATGTGGGGGTTTACGATATTAGGGGTACCTTATTGCGGTCCCAAATTATAAGGGGATCCTGCTCTATTTAGGGGTATATGATTCAACCCGATTTTTATACTCCAAGACACTGTAAGCTGAAGGCTTCCAATCCAGAAGCAATCAAAGCAAGCGAGGCTTGCAGACCTCGGTGCTGTCTCCCTCGATCTTGGTGTGACGAGCAACCGGCCTCCTTGGCCAGTCAGTTCTGTTTCGAGTGTCAGTGTATTGCATGAGGTTGTTTCGCAGTTAAGTTCCAGAGTAGGGTCTGATTGCCGGCGTAGCATGTCCTGGCTGTTGAGGGAGATGTCAATGAGTTTTTGATTGCCTTCCTGTCAAGTTGGACCTCGCTTCTTCTCTCCTCAAATCTGAGGGCCAGCTTTTTCTCTGGCCTTGATTCCAGGTGGAGATGGTCAATTGTTGAACCCGTGCAGAAGAGGTGCAGGTTTCGCATACAAGCTCATATGGGCACTTCCGCAACACATTCTGTGCCAAGATTTGGGATCCTGCGGGACTAAGAGGCGAAAGGATTGCACTGCCGAGGTACCCATCGGGAGCATTCGCTTTCGGGGCCCTGCCAGACACAGCAGCCACACCCAACGCAACGGAGGAGGGCATAGTGGCCCCCCGCCTCTGAGATTCAGAAAGTGCAGATGGGTCAGCTTTTGGTTTGCAAATGCTGTGGTGATTCAGCAATTCAGCAGGGCGCAATTCAGCAGGGTCTTGCTCCGACTTTTCTCACGGCCCTTGCTCACGGATCATACTCCCACTTGTGCTGGAAGAAGACTCGCAGCAGTTCAGATTGTAGGACTGTCAAGGCCGATGCTGATGGGCAGCCCCAGACGAGGCCCACCAGCACAGCAATTTAATCACCCGGCCCAAATCTTGAACCTCGAAGCTAAAGCAGCAAGTCTTATGAAAGAAGTTTGGAGGTTCTTCTTTAGGAATGGGGCTGAGGGCAACGCATGACAGGTTACCGACTTTCCCCCGATCGCACATCTTGCAGCCGACGATGGGAGGCCGAGGGCAGTGGGATACTCTCATCCTTCGAGGGTTCTTTATTCGGAGAGCGCTTGAGGCTCGAAACACGCAGGGTGCCCTGATTTTTCGGACTCAGGGCTCGGGTTTGCATCCCCATCTGGTCATGTGGCGTCCACCCAACACGGGACTGCGAAGACCTGAAGGTGAAAAGCAGCTGATGGTCGTCGCGCATGCCGACGACGAGGCTTGGGAGGTTTCGGTGTGCAGTTGCTAGCATGCCCAGAAGACTCTGCTGTCCTGAAGTAAGGTTTAGGGTTCAGGAGGCACACAAGCCGGACTCACTGATGCTCGTGATCCTTGTCGCTCCGCACTTGGAGCGTAGGTCAAGCCGAAGGCAGAAAGGCTGATGCTCCTGGTGCCTGCTGGGCCAATCCAAGCTCTGCAAAGAGTGGATCGGCTGATGCTCATGCTTCCCTGGTCTGGCCGCCTCGTAGCAGGTCCAGCATCGTCGCGGCGGTGGCGCGGTCAGGTCAAAATTGGAACGGCGGCTGTTGGGTCGCCCTCGCCGTCGGGTTGCACTCACCCCTTCTCAAACCAACCCCGAAACCACTGATGAGCTCCTGACGACCGCTGTCACACCCTGAGGCTGTTCACCCCAGACCAAAACTGCTCTGCTCATGATGCTCGCTGTCGGGTCGCCTTAGGGGTAGGTCAGGCCAATACTGGAAGGGCTGATGCTTGCAGCGGGACCCTGGGCTTATAAAAGCTCTACATTCCCATGCGTACCCTAAAAGACTGCATCAAGCAGCCTAAGTGAGATAGGGGCCACACACGGCTGGGCCATTTGAATTAAGTATCGGTGCGACCAATACGAGGGCTGCCCTGGAAGTATGTCCCCAACACCAGATGAGTCCTATACATCTCTCTGCAGTGCAGGAATGAGTTTCCTTAGTTTCCGGGTGGGTATGTTCGAAGTCAATGATGGTGCTTTCATTGGGCGGGGGAAGGTGATGGTGTGGGCGAGGGGAGAGGCCGGACTCTTTTAACGTCCATGTTGCCGAGAGAGGGGCCGAGTTTTCGAAACCTTTGTAGCCTTGTCCACGCAAGACGCCCTCTCTTCCTTGGAATGCTCAACCTGGAAATCTAAACCTCTGCCGGCCGAGGACCCGTCTGACTACCTACCAGACAATACACCGACGTAGACTCTATCTTGCAGCCTGACCCAGGTACTCTTTGGAAGCACACTGCTTGCAGAAGGCCCAGAGTGGACGGTGGCTCGGATTTCCAGAATGATTGCTACATTCATACATGTCAATGAACCTCGTCCTTCTTGGAACTTTTGGGGCTCTTGTTTCTGTAGGTGGTGGAATCCAAGATCCGAACCCTAAACCCTAAACCCTAAACCCTAAACCCTAAACCCTAAACCCTAAACCCTAAACCCTTTAGGGTCTCGGCTCTTTGCGTAGCCGGGAGCCCACTGCTTCCAGGTGGTCGTGGCCACCATGCCTTCGGAGGTCTGGCTCTAAATGCGGTTTAGGGTTTAGGGTTTAGGGTTTAGGGTTTACATTTCCGGGCTCAGATTTTCTGAAAACATTAGAGCGCTTGGGCGGACAAATCCTTAGAACTGTCTAAAGGGCACGGAAGCACATATGCGGGTTTCCGAAAATACGGGTAACTTTTGGGGGTTCCTAAATGAGGATTAACGGTACCCCTATTTTGGGGAAATAGCCATATGTCTCAACTCGGGCAACACGACTCTCAAAGAGGGCATCTTGCACACCATGATGCAGGACTCTGACAAAGGGTTGCCGCTTGCCTCTAGAGTCAGCTTTGTTTGAGATCGTCATTGCCATCCGGTTGTTGAAGTTCCCGATTCACCACACAGTTTTTCAGTTATCGTCAGGAACAGGATGGGTGGCAAGGAAAAAAAGGAATAGCAGGGCATCGCAAGTGTTGGAATTGAGACTTCTTGCTAAGGAAGATGCTCTTTCTTCCCTTCGAATTCTTTCGTTTTAAGGCACTTGAAGGAAGCGAATTGTGCTTTCAGGCTCTAGATGACTCTGGGGTCTCAAGCACAAGCAATCCGAGCAACTCTAAGTCTTTAGGCCCGTTTGGGGTTTAGGGTTTAGGGTTTAGGGTTTAGGGTTTAGGGTTTAGGGTTTAGGGTGTATCGTAAGCCTGTCGGCTAGGACCTGAAAACTCCTTTGGCGAACCCTTGAAGTCAGCATTGCAGGGCTACGACCAGCGAGAGGCCGAGCTTCTTCAAGCGCTCGCAGAGTTTCCGCTGGTCGCGGGCCAAGCTGTTGAGTTGAGGAAGTATGAGGAAGTGTGTGGGGAGCCGTGTGTGGGGGCAGGTGGAGATGGGATTTTGGATGGTGTTTTGGTGTTGAGAATTGGGATGTGTTGAGCTTGAGATGTCTTGAGCATTCTGTGGCGTTGGACCGTCTACTGTACTGGAATTGGGAGCCGGAAGGAGCTGGCAAAGGAAGGCTCCATCGTTCGTGTGAAGTCACCATCCACAGCACTCTTACCTTTCGCAGAGCATTCTGCAGACCTAGGGTCTCCGCTGCTTCTCGCAACCTCGTCCACGAAGTCCCCCGAAAGACCCCGCAACCGCTTGCCGGAGTTCCCAGCTGGCTCGCAGCAAAGGCCGCGTAGAGTTTCGGAGGGCTCCTCTCATTTTAGGGTTTAGGGTTTAGGGTTTAGGGTTTAGTCTTATCTTCCCTTGTCCCTGAGCCCAAGGTGACAGAAGTCCGAAGCCCGGCTGAAGAAAGAGCTCACTTGCAGCTTGGGGTTCAGGTTTGGAATTGATACCTCAAACGCCTCCCCCTGTCATGTCCCCAAAACCCTAAACCCTAAACCCTAAACCCTAAACCCTAAACCCTAAACCCTAAACCCTAAACCCTAAATAAACAATATAAGCATGCTGACAAGGGAACCCCAAGAATTCAACAACGTCGACTGGGAAGCCTGAGGTCTCCTCGGCTACCCCGAATGTTCGAAGTGTGTTCCGCTGCATCCCAGAAGCTCAGCGAGGATTTCGGGGGTCTCAGTTGGGGGGACTCTTCGGCTCTGGGGCTTGAGGGTTCAAGATGAGGGTCGAGAGGTCGCTAGTCCGCTAGTCGGTGCTTTCGAGGTGAGGAAAGCGTGCGCTGCGTGCATGATTCAGGGAGCGTGACGGTCTGAGCCATTAGCATCCGCATTCCTGCTGCAGCTTCTCTGTAGGTGTAGGCAGCAGTAGATGCGTTAAAGCTTCCAAGCAAAGTCCGCGAACGCACAGAAGCTGTACCCATAGTGATGTGGCTGATGTGTCAAGAGCTCTTCGGGCCTATTCAGAAAGAAGAGCAGCACCGAAGCAGCAACAATGCCGTGTTTCCGGACGCTTTAAACGAACTAGCATCCCACGCACGTGTGCTCTCACAGGCTTGTACGATGACTTCTCCCGTCTTCTCGATCGGCGCTGGATGCGCCTTGTGACGCACGGTCCGCTCGGGGAGTGGCATGGCAAAACAATTCAAAGATCAGCTGGGCCGAAGGGGCAAAGGTGTCTAGTCGTCGAAGAATCGGTAGCGGGACTTGGTGGTTCTTATTACCCGCCCCCCCCCCCCCAACAAGATTTATTCTGGCGTGGGTTTGAAGAAACAGTTCTGCCGCGCCAGGGTCGCAAGAATAAGCCTTGAACGGGGCCTCTTCTGGGGCTTCTTGTGAGGGGCTCTTGTGCAGCTCTGCTGTGTCTACTCCGGTCTTCTTCTAGGCCTCTTCGGGCTTCAACCCGAACCCCTGAGCCCACTCTGCAGATCAGGTTTTTTTGACTCTGGAGCTTGGTCTGGACTAGTTTAGGTTCAAGGAACCAAAGCAGCCTCTGATTCAGGAAGAACAAAAGAAAGAGGCACCACAGGGCCGGACTTGATGAATAGCACCCCTTACTAGTGGGCAGCTTTTCCGGATATGCTTGGGGCGAATCGTCCAATCGCAGTGGTTCAAAGGCCCCAAGTCTTCGGCCCTAAAGCTATATCCGGGTCGACAAATCGACAAACAGCCCACCACAGCCCCCCACGGCACTAGCAAAAATAGGCACCTAAACCCTAAACCCTAAACCCTAACCCCTAAATCCTAAACCCTCAACAAACCACACCAAAGCCCATGACCGGAAAGGTATGGCCACCCGCAGCATCGGGAGTTGCTGCTCGCCTTGCGCTCCCTGGGGACAGGGCCGGTGCCTGTTTGGGCGCCTTGATAGCTGCAGTTTGGATGTGATATGAGATGTTTGTGGAACATAAACCCTAAACCCTAAACCCTGAGCCCCTAAGCCCTAAGCCCCAAGCCCCAAGCCCCTAAGCCTTAAGCCCTAACATTCAGAGCTCTTGGCATGAAAACAAGCCTGTCCTTCACTGAGGTTTTCCAGCCGCGGATCCTCGACTTCACCCCGCCGGCAGCACGCCTGGCAGCACGTGTGGCAGCCCTGGACGCCTATGCATCGCAGGCGGCCGTGCTGGTGGCTGGGCCTAAAATTCCGCAAGGACCTGGGGTCTGTGGCAGTTGCAAGCTTTTCTAGGTCTTCTGGTGCTCCCAGACGTGCAGATGTCCAGGAGAAATCCGGAGCCATCCTTCCAACTTCTGAACCCAGAATCCGAACATCGAAAGACATTGCATAATGCCTCGAGATTTGGGCCTTGGACCTTCGGGTTCTCGACCAAACCCCGGATTCCCCGCGGTAGGGGAAAGCTTGGTGGTTTTCCAGAGTAGCCCTAGACATCCTTCAAACCTGCCCGTGGTCCTTAATTTTGCCCCAGGCTCTGTACCGCGATTGGTCCAGTGGGGCGGTTCCACTTCATCGGTTTAATTACACGCTGCCTGACAGCAATAGAAGACAATAGGCTGCCGAAGGTTTGGGCTTGTCTTTGGATCTTTGTGTGAGACAGGGGAGTCATTGGGGTTGGAAACGAGCATTTGAAGGGCTCAGATGGCTTTTCCTTAGTCTGCACATGTCACATATACCATCATGACAATCATTCGATTCAAGCAGGCAGGGAAGAGACTTCCGCATCTGTTTAGCTCGCTTTAGGATTTCTGCTGTGGTCCCCAAAAGTTCGCACCCTCGTTCACTGGCTTAGAGGGCGCATGCTCCGGCGCCATCTCCGCCGACCCTAAGCACTGAACCCTAAACTCATGTTCTCAGACTCAGAAACTCCGACGCACGCTCTCAAGCTTATCCGACACAAGAGCCCCCCCCAACCTTCAACTCCTGGAAGATCATGGAGGTCTCTAACATTGCTAGTAGGGGGAAAGAATTTTTAGAGTCTAGTCTGTGTGTTGCTTCGAGAATCGGAGGGTATGCCCTTCGGCATGAAGGACTTCAGCATAGTTGTGCGCAGGCTGGCGAGGGAAGTCTGTGCCACCGGAACAAGAGGCCACGCAAAGACGGAGGGTTCTTTGCAGGGGGTTGTTGGGTATCGGGCTGGCAATTGAAGAGTTTGATGGTTAAGGATTGCCAGCTGCGGTACCTGCACAACTAGGACATTGCGCATTGTTTAGGAGCTACTGCGGGAAGCGTCTGGATTAGGTTTTTTTTTTTGCAAGAATCGCCGGCAACTGTAACTGTAAGCTGTAAACGAGTCGGTGTTATTACAGAGATGACAAGCGGGTGGAGGGTGCTCATTTGCACAGTGTTACAAAACACTCGGGAATGTTGGAGGAAGGCTCAACCTAGTGTCTCGACAAGGCTTGTGTAAGAAGCCATTTTAGCTGTAAGCTGTAAACATAAATCGTAGCAGCGATTTGAGGGCTCTCTCTTTGCACCGTTTTGCAACTTACACTCCTAGAGAGAGATGCTGCAAATAGTGTCTGGATTCGATTTATGCAAGAAGCGCCGGCGACTGCAACTGTAACCTGTAAGCAAAGCAAATGGTAGCACGCAGATGACAAGCGATTTGAGGGCTCGCTTTTTGCACAGCGTTATCAACTTCCAAGGGTTCTGTTTGGTGCGCTTTCAACCAAAGTAATGGTACTACGGAGGTGACAAGCGATATGAGGGTGCGATACGAGGAAGAATGCTGGAGGAAAGCTGGAACAAGTCTTGTCTTTAGACTCGGGTTTTGTGTAAGAAGCACCAGCAACTGGACCTGTACTACGTAGCATGGTTTTGACGCCAAAGTGCTCGGGTTCCGCTGAGGGCTTCGACTCTACCAGAAGACATGCTCAGAGCAAGCAGGGCCTTTGGACGTGGCTCGGATGTGCCAGACATGGACATAGGACTTGGCAGGGAATCTGATTCTTGCTTTCGTGAACTTCTGGTCGGAGGATTTCGTGTAGAGTTCGGGGCACCTTACCCACAAGAGCCACATGGAGAGCCTAGTTCATATCTCGAGATGTCACCGAGGTAAGGGATTCGGGTTGGTTGCTGTAGGGATGATATGGAGGTTTGTCGAGGATTGCTTTGTTTCTGAAGCCTCTCAGGGAGGCGAAAGACCCCAAAGCCTTGCCACTAAATCTATGCACCACATCCCCAACTAAACCCGCGTCTTACAGCCCTGATCCCTTGCCCGACAGTCCAAGCCCAACACTCGAACCCCAAGTAAGCAGTCAACCCTCACCAAACCGTGAGCTATTTGTCATAGCGGGGTACGTTTTTACATGTTTAAGGTTACTTCAACTCAAGAGGGAATAGAAATGTTAATGTTTTCAAGACTCTCCCAACCATGAACTAGTGATGTCTATAAATCCCACTTGGGAATTTTATTTTTGTTTACATAAAACCCAAGAGGATATTTAAACATCTTGACTGTTATTAAGGGTCTACGGGGAGTATAGATGTTGGAAGGGCCAGCTCAGCCAAGGTGAAGCTACTCCGCGTCGATTCGGTGGCGATTTTTGCGGCCGGCCTGGCGCCCGAGGTTGTCACCCGGCCCGGGTTTAGGGTTTAGGGTTTAGGGTTTAGGGTGGTATCTCGGATGGACATTGCGTGCTGAGGCTCCGGCTAGTGGACTCATGTGAGATCGCGGTCCCAAGGCTCTCAGATTCTGGGGATTTCGTGGTTTGCGATGTTCATGCTGAAGGTTGGATCGTCAGCAGCATGAGAACGTCTCGCATCAGGCTTGGGTTAATCGTGCTGCGCCACCACCATTCGCATCTGTACTACGGTGTGTTCCTCACTTTCCGTTCAAATTTCCTCGTGGCATAAAGCTTTTTGTGGGGAGAGTCAGCGGGGGGGGGACTTAGAAGCAAGTGTTGTGAGTGAGTGTGTGAGTGAGTGAGTGAGTGTGTGAGTGTGTGAGTGTGAAACGGACCCCTAAACAGGGTACCCCTATTTTCGGAAATCTCCATATACGCCCCTGGCATGTAGCATGTGATGCCGCACCAAAATGGGGTATGAACTTCTGAGGCTGTCACAATTCTTGCAGAGCTCGCTGGTCAACTTCCGAAGTCCACCAAACAGCGCATTGGTGCTCCACCGAGCGTGAACATGCAACACCTCCCTAAACTACCAAAAAAATAAATACATGTATATATATATATATATATATATATATATAATATGAATGTTTTTCCTTATAAGGGTAATATAGGAATTATTATGATTTTTGGTGTCTTTTTGGGGGGTTCTTTAAGCAAATAGTCGTAACACATGATCTCAGGCTGGTGCACCTCATGCTGCTCTGCTCCTGGGACAGTCTTCAGAAAGGCTTGAAGTGCTTGTCAATCGTGGGCACTGTTGTTATTGACTTCCCCCCCCGGATTTTGGCGCCCGCAGGTCGTCCTAATGTTGTGTTGCTGGCACGAATCGGAATATGCGATAGCCTGAAGACTGAAGGAGACAGTAGACGGAAGATGGTCGGTGAAATGTTGGCAGAAAGGTTTTCCATTGGTTTTGCGCGTTTTCAGGCCTTCTCGACCTGTCACTATTACGCGTGGGCGGGAACGTCCGTCGCCTGTGCTTTCCTTTGGCTGTGAGATTCAGCAGCGCCATCGTCTCACGAGGCCCAGCCCAAGTTGACAAGCCCCTCAAGTCAACACGGGGTTTACGAACATAAGGGACCCGGAGAAAAACACCCCCCAAGTAGTAGGATTCCCTTATAAGGACCCCAACAAGTACCCCCCTATTTTCGGAAACCCCCACATTACCAGACCGCTGAGAAAAGGTTGGAGGCACCGCGGCTGCGGCGACGGCTACTCCACGAGGCCACACAGCAGCCGTTGGGTTTAGGGTTTAGGGCTTAGGGTTTAGGGTTTAGGGTTGTGTTTTTTGTTTCGGAGGCGTTTTGTGGTGTAGAGGTTTACGATTGCAGGTTCACGGGTCCATGTTCAGTTCGCTTCGCTTTCCGGACAAGCGAGAGACTGTGCTTGCCAGCTCATGTGCGCACTGGTCACAGCAGGTCACGCGCTTGCGATTTGTGAAGATTTGGATTCCTTGCATTCCCTGCCTCAGTTTGCAGGCCATGCGGCTTAGCCCGGATGGCTTTGCTTGCATCCAGGCTTGAAAGATTAGAGCCGGCCAGGCGCCCCTAGACATTCCCAACTCCAATGAAAAGGTCCAGAGTTCGGAGAGCCCGTGGAAGCTTTCTAAACGCTCCCAGAAACCCCAGATTAGACACAAACTCCTGGAACCCTATACCGTAAGAAGACCAAAATGTCCCCAACTCCCAACACCGACCCCAGTATAAGCCGGCCTCCTCGAGCCATGCCATATCCCGAGATCGAAGGGTGTTGAGGCTTTGGAGGACGCTGGGGCTTAGTTGATATTCAGGACTCCAAGCTGAGGGATTCATGTCCGAAGAAGCCAGCCAAGCCCCTAAACCCTAAACCCTAAACCCTAAACCCTAAACCCTAAACCCTAAACCCTAAACCCTAAACCCTAAACCCTAAACCCTAAACCCTAAACCCTAAACCCTAAACCCTAAACCCTAAACCCTAACCCTAAACTCGCAGCCCATCACAAGGCACCTTTGGTGGCACCGACACCATGCTGTGGCTTGGAGCTTCACCAGCCAGCTGGCGGCAGCTTCCAGGTTCAGGGTTTAGGGTTTAGGGTTCAGGGTTTAGGGTTTAGGGTTTAGGATTTGCCGTCGGAGGCTTTCATGGTCGAGCATGGGTATCAGGGCATCAGCGCAATAGCCGGAGAAGAAGCCTGAACCACGGATCCTTGTGGGTCTGTTAAACCTCGAAGTGCTCAAGCCCTCTCCATGAAACTCTGCCTGCAGCCTGCATTGCTTTGAAGCACCCAGCCCTCCTGATGTTGAAACCCCCAGTCACAACTGCATCCGAGGACAACACAGCCAGGATTGCGCCGAGGGCGTTCGGGCTTCTGGAATTCTCAGGGTTCAAGGGTTTAGGGTTTTTAGGGTTTTTAGGGTTTTTAGGGTTTTTAGGGTTTTTAGGGTTTTTAGGGTTTTTAGGGTTTTTGGGGGGTTTTGGGGGTTTTTTAGGGTTTTTAGGGTTTTGGGTTTTTTTAGGGTTTTGGGGTTTTTTGGGGTTAGGGTTTAGGGTTTTAGTTCTACCGTGACTGGCTGCGGATGAGTGCAGGCACGAAGAAACCCGGAAGATGCCCGAGAAGTTGGCACACTCACCCGGGCAGAGTCGAAAGCAAAAGGTTGGGTTCTTATAATCATTCTTCTTATTATTATTCTTCTTGTTTATTTATTATTCTTATCATCATTATTATCATTATAAAGGGTGTGGGAGGACCTGCTTTGGGAAAGTTTGAATTTGACATCAGAAATGGTTTGAGAAGCGGACCAGTTCGCTCGGGGGCAAAAGGCAGAACAAAAAGCGGCCTCGAAAAGCCGAAAGGTTTCTGCACCAGTTGCGCCAGGCTTTCCGGTGTGGTTGAAATTTCGGACCCGGTTTAGCAAGAAAGCATGTTGGAAGTTTTCGGTGCTTATTCTGTTTTTCAGGTTTGTTGGAACTGTCCGGGATCATGGGAAGCTGGAAATGCCAGTCAAATCTACCTTAGCTTGTTATCAAATTGGATTCTGAGCTGCGTGGTTCTCAATAGTTTTCATGCCGCTACAACATAAGCATTTTTTGCCCCTGACAAGCCATTTGTGAAAATAACATAACGGAGTCTTAATCGCAAACCGAGAACACAAACAAATGCAAACAAGTATGAACCCCTACTCCTATGGGTGCGTGGCCCAGAGGGTTGGCTGCCTTCCTGAAGGAAGGATGTCAGAGCGTACGCTCTCGCGACTTGCGTGCAAACAATATTCAACAATCACTTGTCCAACAAGATTGGTTTTCGCGTATCCTACGTCACTAGTCAGAATGCCACATGCAGTCCTTCCACGCACAGCTGCGCCGAACACAGGTAGGTTCTTACGAGAGGAAGCTGCTAGACAAGGAATTGCTTTGCTGCAGGCTCTCAACTTCTTCGGCTTAGGATGTTGCGATTCTGGCTTTAAGTTTTAAATTGTTGAGCCATTTTGTTTAGCTTCGCGGGCCTGAACCCCCTGATGAGGATCCTTCCCTTCGGGCCCATGCTCGGTCGGCTGTGGGACGATGCCAGCAGAGTTCTGCTATGGAAGACGTCGCGTGGCCATCTTTAAGCGTTAGCTCCGGCCTAAGATCTCTGGACTGTAGGTCTAAACGTAAGTTTGGGGAGTGTCAGGCTGATACGGTTGAGAAGGATCTGGCCCGGATATGTTAATCTGTAGTGGCTGAAGCACCCTGAGGTTCAAGCGCGAAGGGCTTGAGGACTTTGGGGGCCGAAGCCTGCATGGCCTTCGTCCACGCATGCCCGATTCAGGACCTCTCTTGCCCCGCGGCTGCAGCCGTTTGCTCGTGGCCAGCCGGCGCAGGCGGGTTGGCGGGGATGTTCAAGGCGCCTCTATGTCGGCCTCAGGGTCGTGCTACAGCCTACAGACTGCCCCTCCACGCTGAGAACCCAAGAGTACTAAAAGCAAACTCTTCATCCCTTTCAGGCCCAACCGCACAGAAACTCCCACCCAAGCGCGCCTAAAGCCCAAAAACCCTTCATTTCAACACCTGCCCGAAGGCCTTAGAATAAGGACCCCAATACGGTACCCCAAATTTCCGGAGACCTCCCGAGAATCCGGCTTGTCTTCGAATCTTGCAAGGCGTCGTCGTCATCTATTCGAGACTGCCCCTTGTTGCTCCTTGGCTTCACGTTTGGGGATTTCCGAAAATCCGGGTGCCCTTTTTGTGGGTTCCTATAATAAGGAGAATTTGGGGGTATATTAGGGGTACCTATTTTGGGAAACCCCCCCACATCCTGCTCACCAATTTTAACCAGTCAATTCGCTTCAGCCTCCCCGCAGCGAGGGCCGTGACAATGCGAGTTAAGTTATGAGGATCCCAGTCATCATAAACCCTGCCGTTAATCCCGAAGCTTCATGAGCTTTAGGCAGCACGACCCACGGCCGGCCCATGCTTTTTCCTTTACATCTTGAGAACGGCAGAATGAGCATGTTAAGACTTCAGTGGCCAGAGGATCCTGAGCCTCGGCCGCTGCACCCTCTTGACTTTGCAAGCGCTTGGTTCCGGGACAATTTGAGCACAGGTGCACACTAAAAAACCCAATACCCCCAAGCACAACTGTAAAGTCTAAAAAGGTTCGGAAGACCCCTACCCCACCCTTTCTGCTAAGCTACAAGCCCTCAAGCCGTAGTGGCCACAGCGTCGGCATTAGCAAGAGAAGCCTGAGTGTGTTGAAGTCATCGGTTGTCCGCTGGTTTACACCACAAGACCTAAGCGAAGGTCCCAAAAGTATTGGGCAAGTGGCCTTGTAGTGCTTGCGCGCGCACATCCGCGCAACAAGCGCATGCAGCCAGTGCACTGGTACAAGCTACTGCTGCATATCCCTTTCCAGCACACGGTCTTGAGGACTGCCAAGCGTGAAGAGTTCTTGCCCAAGCCATTTTGGACATTCAATCGGAAAGTGAAAGCTCAACAGGGCAACAGTGCTAGATCTAATATGAGATTGGCTCTGCTGGCTCCTGCTTTACTGCTCGGGGTTTATCGTTTGGGTTTGGGTTTGTGTGTCTAGGCTTGGGCTTCGGGTTTTGGGCTTCCACCGTTCGGCACTTTGTGTGTGGATTGGGATTCTTAGCTCAAGGGTTGCGGGGCAATTGTTTTAAACATCCTCAACAGAGAGGGATGTGGGCAATCCAAACCAATCTTCCCAGCCAGGATCGGTCCGCTGGCCGTCATCCTGGCATTTCTGCGCAGCGCTGCCGCCAAGGTCAAAGCGTCCTGGACCCTTGGAACTCATGGAGAAAAAAAAGGGCAGTTTAGGGTGTTGGGGTTTCCGGGGGTTCAGGGGTGGGTGTTGGGGTTTTGGGGCGTTGGGGTGTTAGGGTGTATTAGGGTGTTAGGGTGTTAGGGGTGTTAGGTTTCAGGGCTCCTGTTGACTCAGAAGCCTGGACTCCTGGACTGTCGTGAACCCACGCCCTAGATCAACTCCGAAGGAATCTTTGCGTGCATGGACTTCGCGACGAGCTACTGGGTCTGGATGCCGAGTCCGTCATACCAGGGGAGGCACATGGGAGAAGAGTCAGGGGAGTGCGGGGTTTTGCAAGGGCTTTTGACTCTTCAGCGTTCCGGGTTGAGAGTGTTTAGGGGCAGGGCCCTGGGACTCGGGGTGCAGGGCAGTGCAGGGTGTGCGGGCGGCGTTCAGAATTTTGGCGACTTCAAGGTTTGAGTTTGGGACCTTGCTCAGGAATCCTCACCCCTAAACCTGGTGCGGCCTTAAACCTTCCCAAAATCCCCTCAGATCCCCTCATGCGCACCTTGGGTCGAGGAAGAGATGGCTTTGGCCCTGTCTGCTGCGGTCGAAGCCTCCGGGACCTTCACCCCGATCCAAGGTGCGGGGGGAGCTTGCAGAGTTGGCAGGAAAGTTGGCAGAGTTGCCGGGGGTGTCCCGATGAGGGTGTCCCGATGGTGTCCGTTGTTGAGATGTGTCCTTTGTTGGTGATTAGGGCCTGATTAGGGGTTTCAAGCTTGAGGCGGTGCTGCCTAGTTCGACTTGACTTGCCCGGAGCAGTAGATGCTTTTGGATCATGGAGATGAGGTGTGTGAGGCGTCTTGGGGTGCAAGCTCAGTGTTCAACTTGTGAATTTGGGGAGCTCTAGTGTTTACTAGAGAGTTGACATGGAGCAAGAATGTTTATGTTGCACAGCTGCCTTGAATCAGTTGCTCATAACAGCGTTCCAGACCGGATGCCGCGCATGTGACCACAGACATGTACTGTACATGCCGACCATCCTCGCGAGTGGGATCTCGAAATGGTTCCAAGAATGTCTCTTTGAATCCCAGTATCTACCTGATAACTCTTGGTTCCGTTTAAAGTTGTTCTTGTGCGGTGTAGGCAGTGCCAACAAAAGGATGGCCGCCAAGGATGATACTTAGGATTTAGGGTTTAGGGTTTAGGGTTTAGGGTTTATGCTTTAGCGTCTGTAGGATATTCAGGCGATGGCAACTTGGCGTGTGCCGAAGTTGGTCGCTGGGGTACATTTACACCGAAAGCTCAGGCATTCCCTCAGAAGGACCGACAGTCTAACTGGTTCGTGTATGCAGGGATGTTTCAAAGCAATATGGTCGCTCCATGGAGCTCTTTCCGAACCTGTCCGGCGTTTTCATGCTTTCCGAACGCACCTAGATCTCGTGGCACTATATGCAAGATCCCCACACACACACACCCTGCAAGCCCATAGCCTTAGGGTTCTGAACGCGAATCCTTCCCTGTCCAACGACTCAGGTTCGATTCCTCCTCGGCGCTGTTCATCGCAGGACCCAGCTGCTCACTGAACTTCATCATTCCTCCAAACTAAGCACTGAGTATCCCTGCAACCTCAAGTTTATGCTGCATACAGCTTGAGTCTCAGACAGTCGGAATTGGCAGAAGACCTGACACGTGAAGCAGTGCCCTGTCCCTCTCAACTGCCTCTGCCACCCGACCCGGAACTGCAAGTTTGCCACGCAAGCCCGGCACAATCCTATATCCTAGCTGTCGAAAACATTCTTTCAGCTTCTTAGTGAGCCATGCTTCTGCTTCTCAATCGGAGGACGGATGGCGGAGAGCTTGGTCGTGGTCTGCGGCGCATAAGGCATCTTCGGAGCGTGAGCAGTGTGGGGTTTGGAGTTCTTTGCTCTGGGTTGCCAGATGAGACGGAGCAGCTAGTCGCATGCTGGTTAACGTCGGGATTTGTATTTCATGTTGCTTGTATGGAACTTCCGCTGATTGGGAGGATTGCTTTGGGTCTTTGGGTCAAAGGTTGGCCTCCAAAGTATGCAACGCGGATGCTCACATCGCCAGAAATGCTGCTCATGTCATGGCTACGGGGCGTGAAGCGTTTCAGGATTCAGGACTTGCGGTTCGGGCGCGGTCTATCATAGAGCCGACTACCGATGTAGACCCGAACCCAGCTGTGAGGCCAAGGTGATACAGCGGGAGGTGGCGGCCACTGAACACATTGGCTGCTGTTTCACCATCGAGCGATCTGAGAAGCAAGGGTCCGGCAAAAGCGTTCAGCAGCCTTCCCTCATGAACCAGTCCCTGGTGTTTTACAAGTACCCTGAGATACTCTTTCCTTTGGGCTACTGGTACATATGGGTCATGAACATCTGTGTACATGAAGACGAGTCCTGAAACCCACAGCAAGGCTTCAGCTTGAAGTCTTCATTCCGCACTTACTGTTCAGGTCCTAAGATAGTCCCTTAAATCGCAGGACAAACTTAATGAGGACCCCAATAAGGTACCCCGAATATCGCAAACCCCCAAATACACACCCTACACCCAAACGCTAAACCCTAAACCCTGAACCCTAGACCCTAAACCCTAAACCCTAAACCCTACACCCTAAACTCCTCGGCTCATGCTCGGCTTCGGACAGGAGCCCCTGCCTTGCACGGAGGCACCCTCTTGTGCTGCTCTGGACACTTTGGGCGTCACTTTTGTGGGGTTTAGGGTTTAGGGTTTAGGGTTTAGGGTTTAGGGTTTAGGGTTCAGGGCTTAGGGTTTAGGGTTTAGGGTTAGGGGTTTTGGGGGGACGAGGCTGAGTGAGGTTTCTGGGCAGGGCTGCGCATTTCTCATGGTTCGCCTATGATATTCACTCAGGGTATCCTGTGCCTTAGTTTGACATGCGTTAAGTTTAGGGTTTAGGGTTTAGGGTTTAGGGTTTAGGGTTTAGGGTTTAGGGTTTAGGGTTTAGGGTTTAGGGTTTAGGGTTTAGGGTTTAGGGTTTAGCCGAAACCCTCAGCCGCCCTCGAACACCTCAACGCCCTGCCACTGGGCAGTGCCGCCAAGTCACACTGATGCTACACAAGGTTGCTGTTGGCCTACAGCTTCGGAAATTCGAAGTTGCTTGATGTTTGGCTTAGGGAGGTGCTGGGCGTGAATGCTGGGATTTCGAGCGGCTGCCTGTTGATTCGAAAGCTTCTCATGCTTCCGGCTCGACCCAGCGTTTCGGGGCATTCGTTCGAGGTCCAACCAAGATTCAAAAACACTGGGGCAACTTCCTTCGGCGTGATCAGCAACATGCAAGGATGTCGTTTGAGATTTGAGGCTGTGTTGAACTGGCTTAGCCGTCTATCGTCGGACGACCTCTTTACGCTTGCATCTACTTGCGGCGAATGCCCGACCTCCTCCAGCACGAGCTGGCTAAGACACACCGCAACTTCACTTCAAGGAGCTGAGTCCTGAGCCCTCAACGTAACACCCTCGAACCCTCTCAGCCCAACTCCAAGACCCAAAAAAGCCCCAAAAACCATCCAAATTCCTGAGGCCCCGAAGAAATCTTCAGACGCAGACCGTCAGAACGCTACCGAATTATGCCTCTGCGACTCCTCTTTACATGCGCACCACGTCAAAGCCTGCGAGAGCCCCAATCCTTGTGGGATTCGGGCACATGAAGCCTAAAGAAACATGCACCTGAAGCTGGTCATCTTTTGACACCACATAGAGAGCCATGACTCGCTGGAGAGTGCTTTTGGTTCTGGCATTGGGGCGGAGCGACTGCCCTGGGAATGACAAGGCGCGCGCCGAGCTTTCTGTTCCCTTGGGGGGAGGACCTAAACCCTAAACCCTAAACCCTAAACCCTAAACCGTGGGGGGGAGGAGGGGGAAGGAGGGGCGGTTTGGGTCTTCCGGGGCTTGTCTTGGGTTAAGGTTCAATCTGCGCTGTGATGACTTCCATAAATCCCGACGCAAGGCCTGCTAGCTCTGGACTGCCTGGTGACCTGAACGGCTGCAGCTCATGGGCCGAGCCTCCCCTTTACCTTCCCTTTCTGAGGTTGAGGGGTTGAGGGCGCTAAGCAGCATGATCAATCTTACCAAGACACACCGGGCCCCCCCCTGAAAGGAGATCTGTTTTTGTTTCTCCATGTCTTCTCAGTTTATTGTTGACGCAGGCCGACTTCGAGGCTTGCCAGACGGACATCTTCTTGGGCGGCCGGCGCCCTAGGGACGCTTCGGGAGAAGCAAGGGATCTGGGGTTGATGCGTCGAGGCTTTCGATCTGCTGGCACTTTCAGGCTCATCTCACACAAGGAGACTTGATCCAGTTCGGGGCACCTGTTCAATCCTCAAGGGCATCAACAAGACACATGGGGCACCCTTCCGTAGGGGCTTGTTCTAGTCGTAGAGCCCGAGAACACTCACACTGAAAGGAAGCATGCTGAATCTTGCTGTGATCTTCAGGGCGTGAAGCAGTGCATGGGCTCAGCACTCGCGATCCTGGACTCTTGAAAAGTGCAGCCAACGCCCTCCAAGAACGACCAATACCCTTAGAGCCTTCGAATCCTGGAGAGCAGCACTTGCCTCAGGGCGTTGGAGGTCCAAGGGCTTGGGTTCTGTACAGTATTATTAGTATTATTATTATTATTAGTATTATTATTATTGTTGTTGTTATTATTGTTTCCTTGGGTCATAGTGTTGGAGCACGCTTCCGCGGCAGGGGTTGCCATTCGAGAGTCTCAGGCTCCATCCGTGACGAGACGCCCCAGACAGTAGCGCCCTCGCCACTTGTCGTCATTTGGTAAGAGAGTGTCGGCTAGTATGCTGCTGTGTGCGGCTGTGGTGTTGGTCTTGGTGCTGTTGTGGTTGGTTTGTCGTCATCGTCGTCGTAGTGTCTTCGTCATCACGGTCGAAGTCGTCGTTGTATTCGTCGGAGAGTAGCAGCAGCCGTGGGATAGGAGTAGTGGGAGTGGGAGGAGTGGGATTGGGCCTGCTAGGCCCCCTTTTCCACCCCCATTTTGTTCTCAGCCTTCGAGCGCTCCATCTCCAATAATCAGAAATAGACGAGGTGGAAAGACTAAGTGATCATGCTACATAAGCTCTACGACACTATGCATGTTGACAGGCCTTGAATCCTACAACTCTATTGAGACCTTTCAAAGAAACCTAAACCCTAAACCCTTTACCCTAAAAAAACTCCCCTGTAAGACAACCCAATCTTTCCCTCGAACCCCAGGCCGTGCGAGAATAGCCCAAGCCTCGTCACAACCCAGAGCCATAGGGCCAGACTGTAGGGTTTGGGGTTTAGGGTTTGGGGTTTAGGGTTTGGGGTTCAGGGCGCTATAACAAGTCAGGCAGCAGCCAGGGCGTGCATCAGCAGCCTGCATGGCTGCTGTGCGGCACAGAGGTTGCAGCCTTGAGGTTCAGGGTGATTCCTTAACTAAGGCAGTGTTGTTTTCTTCATTTGGTCTTGTACTTCAGGGTTGATCTTTCATTGACAAGTGGTTTTCGAGCAGTTTTGGCTAAACCAATCTGTGCTAAGTAAGGCGCAGCTTGGGTGCTTTAAACGCGTCGAGTCATGCTTCCAATGACAAGTAGCCTGAACAGAAAGGTGCACAAAGCCAAAATAAGATGCTAGGCTTCAGTGAAGAGTTAGGGCCATGTGGTCCGGGACCTCTAAGTTGTGGGCTTGGATGATTTTGGTGGGCGTGCAGACAGTGGGGGCAGTTAGGTCGCAGCATCAAGGTTTTTTTAGCGAATGTCGGATTACAAAAAACATGTGAACGTTGGAAGACACATGAATCATACCATGATACAAAAGAATTCCATATACGATGACACAAATGAGGCCTAGAGCTGCAGACCCACGGGGTGAACCTATGCTCTTCTTTCCACTCCTTTGTCCCTCGAACTGCATCATGCGAGTCTCAAGTTCCCAAACCCGATATCATCCGCACCTGACACAAGCCCCTGACACCGCACAGACATCTTTCCCCGTGCCCTGTAATTATAAAACCGCAGATAGAAGAGTCCAAAAGGCCAAGAACCTGTAACCCTCAGCAAGGCCTCAACCCCTTACAGTATAGGTTTTTTGTTCCACTTACCCTGCTGGTGCAATATGTAGCAAGTCGTCTCCGGCAGCTGTCAGGATTGGCCTGGATGCGCACCGCTCGGCCTGTTTGGGGACTGCGGCTAGCCCCATCTAGCCCCATTTATTCGTGAGCTGACTTGGGGTTTGGGGATATAAGCCTTTTTAGCAGAATGTTTTCTTCGACGTTTTCTTGTTGGATGGCCTTCAAAACGAGTGGCCTAAGTTTGGGGTTCTTGACATGAATGGTTTTTCGTTGTTTTTTTTTCAGCGAGCGTCTGCGAATACCAACAAGTGTCCAACTCCGTAGATTCTGTTGAGTCGCGTTGGTCACACTTCGGTCGTCGTAGGACGGTGCTCTTCCACGTCGCAAAATGCTTCCTGTGGCTGTTAATCGTTTCAAGAGGAAGCTTCGTGTTCTCTGTCAAGCTTAGTTTTGGGAATTGCTGTCACCAAAGCCCGCAGCTTTTCGCCGATTGAATGAGCATGGGTGTTGATGTGGCAGTTCTCTTTTGGACTTCGGAAGGTGGCTCCCAAACCCTAGCCCTAAACCCTAAACCCTAAACCCTAAACCCCCTAATCCCGCCCAGCCTCACAGTTCCTCTCATCTCCGAGGCTGCCCCTCCAATGGAGGCGCCATGCTCGGCTGCTGTGCCAAAGCTGCAACACTCAAATCCCTTCAGATTGCTTTTTCAAATCGAGGCTTTCGCGGTCTTTTCGCGCTGAGGCTTGAAGGTGCGAGGACCTCCATGGGCATCCGGGGCCCGAATGCAAATCTTAGGAATGCCTCAATTCCCTATAAAGCTTCATCTAGAGCCTGTGAATCCCACGAATTCTTACGAATGTCCCGAATTCCCCAGGCAGCGCAGGACGTCGGCTAGCGCTGCTGCAGATGGAGAGGAGGGTGAAGAACAAGCCGTCACAAGCAGAAGCAAAATAGAGCACTTGAAGAAGAGCAAGCCTGTTCTGGCAAGCGCATCACCCCTGATAATTCCAACGCTGCTTCAAACCCTGCGTGGAACTTTCCCAGTGATCGGCCAGGAAGGGCGTCACAATTGATGACACCACCCTCCAGTGGCCCGGCTGCGCCAGAGAGGGAGGGCAAGGTGGTAATTTTAAAACCTGGCAACGGTGTTTCTTGAACTATGTCAGACAGCGTTCCGTTGCTCCAAATGTCACACCCATCTTAATCGAAGCTGCGGCCTACATTGGATTGCAAATCCCATGCTGGGGTTCCCCGAAAAAATGTGACAACAGCTACAAGTACTAACCCTGAACCCTAAACCCTAAACCCGCTCTGTGGTTCTGGCATATTCCCTTCAACACACAGCCAGCCTTTGCAACCCGAAAAGCCTTGACCAGGTACTGCGCCCGCCGCATCCCAGGTGAATGGCCGAATGCCGAGGCACCGCTCACGTCGCTGCGCCTCTTTCAGACCTGGCGCCCTGGTTGAAGGAGTCGGGCTGTGCAAGGTCAGGAGTTGTGCACTCGAACCTTGTCGACCAGTGAGTTTCTGCTTGTACTTGCCTTGACCCAGAGACATCGCGCACGAGGAAAGAGACCACAGTTTCGTTGGGATTCTTACCTTGTTCAGCGTAAAAACCCCTAAACCTAAACCCTAAACCCTAAACCCCAAACCCTAAACCCCAAACCAACCCTAAACCCTAAACCTTAAACCCCAAACCCTAAACTGGCAGTATCTTGAAGTCAGGAACACACAATGGCCCGTTGAAGGAAGAAAAGCTTCCTGGCAGGCCAGGAGCTCCTAAGTATGCAAATTAGGGTTTAGGGTTTAGGGTTTAGGGTTTAGGGTTTAGGGTTTAGGGTTTAGGAGTCTTCAGTGCACATGCTTGTGAAGTCCACCCAGAATGCAGAATATATTCGGCCTTGTACTCGGTTGAGGGGTTTGGCATGTTATGCCCGAACAAGCTCTGAGGTGCCTTTGCTGCGTGTGTTTGTGGTTCAAGGACAGTTTCAGGTGGGTAGTTTCCCTTATAAGAGCCTTATAAGAGGCTTATATAAACCTGATACTGTTTATAAGAGGCTTATATAAACAGTATCTACCCACCTGAAACTGCCCTTAAGTGGTGATTTCATCTGCCAGCCAAGAGTCAGCCAAGAGTCAGCCAAGAGTCAGCCAAGTGCCCAGGGTAAGGGGGGTATGGAAGTGCTTCGGTAGTCTGGCAGCTTCATCTCTATCCGGAAGTCAGGATTCAGGATTCGGGAGTGGGGTGACGGCTGTCGTGCTGTTGGGGATGACAGCAGGGCCTCGTTGACTTCGTCCGCACCCACGGTGTCAAAGTTCTCGTCGGAACGCCGGTTACTTGTGCAACCTGTCAGCAATTGAGGTTCCGAGGTCATTGGTCCTCGTGCAGCCAAGCGTCATCAGCCCGAACCGACTAAGCTAGAACGAAAGGTGTCGGGTCCCATGCAAGTCTTGACCCTCGCATTACGATCCCACAGCATGAAAAGCCAGGCAGTCCCCGTTTGGTCCCTCCCCCCCTGGCTGTTTTGGACGGAGGTGCAGAGCACAGTCGAAGCACTTTCAGAGTTTTGGACTTGAGTAGCAGCCCTGAGGACTCTGGAGAAGCTCGTGCTCCAACCCGTAACCCTACTAAACCCTAAACCCTAAGGCCCCCAAGGTTGTGGAGAATCGCACTGAAGACCATGTGGTGTGACATCCAGAAGAGCCAAAGTATATCGCATGCGCTCAAGGGCAGTTGGTGCTTCAGGCACAGTCTTTAGGTACTGACTTGAGGCTTTTATGGCTTCAGGGCCCAGGTTCCAGACTTGGGGGTTTTAAGAGGACTTGAGGTTTGGGGTTCAGATTAGCCTCCGAAGAACTTAGACCCAAGCTCTGCTGCAAGCTGCAAGGTATTGGCAGACGACGAGCAGACGTGGGCTTGGACCAAGGAGACGTTCAAGGTCTACGTTTCCTAAAGTGGGGCTCGGTTGCGCAGTTCAGGCGCAGTTCTCATGGTTCAGGAGTTCGGGATTAGGGCAAGCTTCGTGTTGAAGCTTAATTGCAACTTAAAGCCTCTCTCAGTGGGGCCACAGCAACCACTGCGTAGGACGCCAGGGCTGGTGCAATTTGGGCACAGGTTTTGGGTGGCTTGCAGTGGTTTTTTCTGATCCAATGCCCGGATGCCTGAATCCCAGAATGCTAAATGGGCTCACAGATGCTGACGGAGCTGTTCAGCCGGGAGAGGCGGTGTCTCAGCGCCCCCCCCTCCCCTGCACTGCACAGCACGACCCACTGAACCAAATCTTCAACCCCGAAACGAGAACTGAAGAATCGGGTTTTCATCGGGGCGATGGAGCCAAGCTCGTTGGTCACCTCTAGCAAGTCATCATGAAAGAGAACCGCACAGCAGACGAGGATGGTCTGCCTTTCCCTGTAGTATGACTGTGACACCCCCTGCTGGATGGCCATGTCCTTGTGCTTTTCAGGCAAGGTTGGGCGCATGACCTGGTTGTAGCGTCAGCCCCTGAACTTTGTGGTGCTTTACTGTAACACTAGATCTTTAGCCTTTTTGGGCTTATTGGGTTTCTTAACAAGGCAGCTAAAAAATAATTTACAGCAACTCTCCTACGTGCAGCCAAGTGAACCTTAGGTTTTGCTTTGACAGGAGTTTCTCGGCATGGTGGGCCCTGAGAACATCATGGGCCTCGCCATCGGCAACGAGCTGGAGCGCAGAGGGCCGTTGACATGATACAGTCCCCTACGATGCGCCCCAACAATACTGATAACAATAACAGAATAATAATAAAAAAATAATATTAATAATAATAATAATAATAATAATAACATACTAATAATAATAATAAGAAAAGTCTTGTAATTGGACTCCCCAGTCGGTGTGCGAGGGGCAATAGCCAGTAGCTGCCTGAGCTGCTTCCCATACTGCTTAGAATGTGAGCCTCGAGCTGCTTCTGCGGGTCGCCAGCACACCGGTAGAATCCTCGCTGTCCAGCAAATTTCAGACTTCGGGTCTCGGGATGAGCGCAAGTGGCGTCATGCGGTGTCAGTCGCAACAAGGATGCCTGCGACTGCTTCGACTGCCACAGTATTTACGCAGAGATGCTGCCCCTGTCATCCTTGCGGCCGTGTGCATGATACACAGCACGGGAGTCACTTGTGCCGCTCAGGTTTGGTGGGACGCTTGCTTAGGATGCTTGCTTACGACCGAAAGCCATTGAACGAAAGCCTCAAGAGCTCACCGCCGAAGCAAAGTCGTCAGGAGCTGCTGGCAGACCACGCGGATGAGAAGTGTATAGAGGAGAATCAACCTCAGGGATTGAGCAGCCAGTTTTACCGGCTGGGGGTCGGTTGCAATGGCTGGCCTAAGCACGGAGAGCGAATGATTGGGAGGTTTGTTCCTAGCCAAATTTCGGGTTTGTGGAGAGATTTAGTGTTGGTCTGTCTAAAAACCAAGTTCTGAAGCTCCTTACAGGGCTGAATTTTAATTGGACTTGCTCCCCAAGCTTGCCACACCATGCAGTTGAAAGCTCCGCAACGGCGCCCGCGCGCCGCACGTGCTTGTCGATCTCGCCCCTCGTACCCTGAACGCTGGAACCCCTTAGTGTTGACACGCATTTTCTACTAGTTGCTTAAGAACCCCCAAAGAATATTTTTTAAACAAACTATACTACCTTTATAAGGAAGAACATGTTTTGTTATTGGGGGGTTCTTAAGTTAAGCAATTAGTAGTTTTAGGGAACGAAACAACTCTGAGGAGCTGTGGGAAGGAGGAAGGCTTTGGAAGACCTTCAACCAGCGCCGCGAGGGCTGAGTTAGAGGTTTGGGATTGGGGAAGGGTTTAGGGTTTAGGGTTTAGGGTTTAGGGTTAGGGTTTAGGGTTTAGGGTTCAGGGTTCAGGGTTTAGGGTTTAGGGTTTAGGGTTTAGGGAGTTGAGGATGTTCCAAGCCTTCATGGTTGACCGTGCCCCCGCTGTAACCGCCACAAGTTTCAAAGACGTGCCAAAAATGCCGAGGGGTTTGCTTTCAGAAGGGTTTCGGACCTCGCTTCTTCGTTGTACGTACTTAAACCAATGGGAACCAGTGCCTAGTTTGGGAGGGAACCGTAAACCCCACTCCTTCATGTGGCAAGATCTGACGTACGAACCCGCCGCCTGAACCGCTGTCGCCGCAGCTTGCTTGGCCCAACTCTACTATTTGCGTAAGAACCCCCAAAAAATAGGAAAATCAGATAATCCCAATACTATATATTACCCTTATCAGGAAGAATATGTTTTTTTTTGGGGGGTTCTTAAGCAATTCGTAGAACTGTCTTCTCAGTTTGCTAGTTCTTGCGCTCTCCTTGCCGGCATATGGCCTTCCTGCGCGTCTACAGTGCTTCAGGTGGGCAGGTTCGTTTCAAACTACCAGGGCCCTGAACCAGGGTGGGCTATCAGCCCTATAAAGGGCCTTTTTAAGGGAGTTATAGGGTATGATAGCCCGTCCTGGAAACAGAAGAGGGTGGTTTCAATAACTCTTCGTGGCCTCACAACTTGGGGCCCAAGAACCCTAAACCCTAAACCCTAAACCCTAAACCCTAAACCCTAAACCCTAAACCCTAAACCCTAAACCCTAAACCCTAAACCCTAAACCCTAAACCCTAAACCCGCGCCCGAAGCCTCAGGTGGCCTGCTTCTCTCCATAGGGGAGGACGAAGCTGATGCGCTGGCCTTCCTCGATGCGGACGCTCATCCTGTGCGAGCGCTGAAGCGCCGTCTGCAGGGTATCTGTCAGGTGTCGAGGTTCCGGCAAAGGTGTCCTGGCAAAAGCAGAGAAAGCAAGCAAACGACAGTAAGCCCACAGTTGCCGCGAACCTGATAGAGTGCACTTCTCTGTTCTCTAGAATCTACTCCTAACCACTCCTGAAGGGCATGTAACGGTGTGCTGCTGTGCAGAGATCAGCTCAGGCTAGTTCATTGCCAGCTAGGTGAATTGCAGGATGATGCCGTGCTGCCACTCCCAACTGACCTGCAGTTGATCCTGATACCCTTTGCCGTTACCAGCGATGGAGAGGCGTTCCAGCTGTCAGAGGCGGTCGTTCGGAACAATCCGAGGAAGGTTGAAGCTCTTCTGCGACGTCCACTGAATCCCGACGAGACCTACCGAGAGTGGTTTCCCAGAAGTACGAGTTTTCTCTTCAAGGCGTCTGAACTTGGGCATTTGGAAGTAGCAAAGCTCTTGCTCGAAGCCGGCGCAAACATGGAATCGACTGACCAGTGCAAACGAACTCCTTTGTTTGCTGCCTCAGGCGCTGGACACGTGGAGGTTGTTCGACTTATGTTGGATGCCAAGGCCGATAAAGACAAGGTCGATTCGATGGGGCGGACGCCTCTTACCACCGCCTGCACTGCAAGAAGGGTCGATGTTGTGCGCTTCTTGCTGGAGGCAGGCGCTGATGTGGAGAAGGCCGATCGAAGCGGCCAAGCTCCTATCTTTCTGGCCTTGCAGGCCAACGAGCCCCAAATCCTTTCCTTGCTGCTACAGTGGGGTGCAGATAAAGACAAGGCCAGTCTGGGGGGCTTGACTCCTCTTGCCGCGGCTTGCGAGCAGGGCTCCATGGAAGGCGCGCGCCGCTTGCTGGAGGCTGGTGCGGACAAGGACGCCGCAGCATCTGCGCTGCAGCAAACTGCTCTCTTCGTGGCGTGTAAGAGTGGGCACCTGGCCGTTGCCAGGCTCTTGTTGGAGGCAGGTGTGGACAAGGACAAGCCCAATGCAGTCGGGCAAACGCCTTTGTTTGCAGCCTGCCAAACTGACCACCTGCCACTTACCCGACTCCTGCTCCATGCTGGTGCAGATAAGAACAAAGCCAACACCATTGGGCGGACTCCTCTTACCGTCGCCTGCAGCTGTGGCCATGTGCAGATCGTTCGGCTTCTGCTGGAAGCCAATGCCGACAAGGACAAGGCTGGTACAGATGGCCGAACTCCTCTGTCAGCTGCCTACCATTTCCACCAGCACGATGTAATACCACTTCTGGAAGAAGTACCACTACAATCTGAGAAGGAGTCAACTTCCGGGTGAGGCCGGATAAGTTAGGGGACGTGGAAGACCCACTTGTGCAGAGCAATCGCTCCCACAAGTTCACAAGTGCCCCTCCGGCCTCGGACCGTGCAGCTGCGTCAGAAGATGCGCATCGGTTTAAGGGTCTAGTTTCAAGGTGCATGCTCTTCACCGGCAAGCTAGTCTGTCCCCACCTACAATCGGAATGGCGCATCTGACTTGCTAAGATGCGTACCCCAGCTTCGATATCCTGAAGCAAATTTCTCGACACCGCGTTGGCGTGAGAGCACACCCTAACCCCTAAACCCCTAAACCCCTAAACCCCCAAACCCCTAAATCCCTAAACCCTAAACCCTAAACCCTAACTTAGGTGTGAGTGAGTTCGACGAGATGGGCTTCTCGCACATCCCAGTCGCGTGGACATGCAAAGCTTTCCGTCTAGCGTGAGCTCGGCTCGATGTTCTAAATGCGTAATGAAATACCGAAAGAGCCCACTTCCCCCTAATTAAGGAATATAGCATAAATTATAAAGGGATCCTTATTATGATTTAAGGAATATTCCCTGAATAAGGGGTATTGGGCTCTTTGGGCATTTACTGGTGGCGCACAATGGGCTCAATCTCAGAATTGTCTTGTTCGGCTACCCTTGCCACTAAGGTGACCAGCGTTTTCACAGCAGCCATTCTGTCCGGGCAGCACGGCTATTCTCACCTCTTTGAATCGAGGGAGAACATCAACAACAGCCCTTCAGCCCCCATGAACTTCTGCAAACCCTAAACCCTAAACCCTAAACCCTAAACCCTAAACCCTAAACCCTAACCCCAAACCCCAAACCCTAAACCCTAAACCCTAAGCCCTAAACCCTAAACCCTAAACCCACCCCGTGGGCGCGTGTAACCCCAACCTGCAGGCCTCACACTTTGCGCTTTTGGGGTTGAGGGTTTTGACCATATGTTTTCCCCCAGAATCATTGTCAAAAAGCGGGGCATGTGTCAGTCAACTTCAGCACACTTTTCGATCCGGTCCTACATTCCTAAACCCTAAACCCTAAACCCTAAACCCTAAACCCTGAACCCTAAATATGGCCACCACCCAGCAGCCTTCACTTTAGAGCCCTGAAGCTGAGAGACCTGAATCTTCGCGTGATCCTCACCAGTACCTCAGGAACTTAAGTTAGAGGCAGGTTGAAGTTATTTTCGTGAGGGCTCAGAGTCAAAAAGGGATCTGAAGTACAACTTTCCCGTCTAAGGTTCCGAGAGAATGAGTGAAGACCCCAGCCGCGCAACGCTCACTTTGAAAGGAATCCCTTCATGGACGTCCCTGGCAAGGCCCTAGTCAACACCTTCCTCCGCCAGGCAACGTGTTGCCCTCAACTGCACCTCTGACTTAACTTTGCGCCAAGTTCATGAGTAGCTTTTTGGTTGAATGGTCCATAGCGTTCTACAAAGGCGATCGAAGGCTCAATTGTCCACGACTTGGCACCCCAAACACAGCTTCTAGGGGGCAATCTCTCCCGGGTACGTACGCGCTTGCAAGTGTCCCTAAGCCCAGGCCTCAAGCTTCTTTTGAGGGTTTAGGGGCCAGTGGGGGTTTCGGATTTCGCGGCGTTTTGGCAGGGATCGTTGATCTTCTTCCCATCTCGGTGCTGGAGCTTCCTGGCCGATCCCAACGCCGAAACCCCCTGCAGGCCATGTGGAAGTATGGAGCGCGCTATGCCTTCACCTTCAACGTTTACCCGCACCACGAGCCTGATTTGTGGATTGATGGTAGACCCTAAACCCTAAACCCTAAACCCTAAACCCTAAACCCTAAACCCTAAACCCTAAACCCTAAACCCGTTGCTTAGACTTCGTGCCCTGTGGGTCTGAACAGCCAAGCGGTCAAACTTTGAAGTTACAAGGCCTGGGCTTCGTTGAGAAGCTTTCATATCAGCTTAGGACAGCTTGCGTTTGACTTCTGCAGCCTTCGGTGTACATGTCAAACTGCACGTCGCTTGAGAATATCAGATTCTTTCAATGGCCCGCCTTCATCGAAAACTTGTTGCCGCAAGCGAAATGTTAAATAGAGCAAGGCTTTACACCTCCATCTAAACGAGCTCATCTCTGCAACCCCCAGGTATTTCGACCCGAATCTGCGCATGAATGCTGGAAGTCGGGACAATTGCAGCGAGTCCCTGAAACGAGCCACCTGCTGGCAAGGCGGGGGTATTTCTTAGCCTTAAAGATGTGTTTGATAGCAGCGTTCTGTAACAATTCTGTGGACACAGTCACATATTGGTACATGTTCGTTTGAATTTAGAGGGGGGGGAAGGTATGCTTTTGGATGTCTGAGCAGTGTACATAGCTTGAAGAGTTGATTTTTGGGGACCGTCTCTGTTCTGACCGATGGCCTCCAAGGCTTCAACAACCCTTCGCAAGGGAGCTCTAGCTAAGGGACGGGGATCAACCAAAAATCAGGTAGGGACGTAGGGATGAAAGCATCGAATCCTTCGAGAAGGAAGACAGGAAGGAACTAAAGGAACGGGAGGGGGGAAGAATGGAGGGGAGGGAAGTTCTGAAGGAAGGAAGGTAGGAGGCAGGCAGCCAGGAAGGCCTAACCCTACAGGGCCTTGGTTTGAAATACTGGAAAAAACTCTGCATTCTGCCAACTGACAGGCTCGTGACTGCATGTCTGCCTGTTCACAGGCTGCAAATACGGCAAGTTTACAGCATGTCTGAATGGTTCCAGTTACGGCCAGCTTTGCAAATACGGTAAATCACAACTTTCTGCTAAGTCACAGGCTTCTAATACTGCACCCCCCCCCCCCCGAAACTTGCAACATCGTCAGTACAGCCCTCACAGAATATAAGGATGGAGGTAAGGAAATATTTATCAAGGCTGACTTGTACTGTAGAGTATTTGGAGTTTGCGAATGCTGTAGTTGGAAACTGTCAAGAGGCAGGAATGTTGTATTTCACGGTATTGGAGCCTGCGAATTGGCAGAAATGCTGTAAGTTGTTGCCGTCTTTTCGGTGCGCTTGCGAAGCAAGATGTTTTGCTGATCCTACTTGATTGTTGTGTGAGCCGGCTTTTTGTCGATCCCCTGTTTGGCTTGTTGTTGATCCCTCACCTCGTTGCCACTGTAGACTTTGTTCAGAAGGTGGGGGCACTTCTATGTTATTCACATTTCGTGGAGAACATCAAAGACATCCCTTCCCCATCCCAGACCTCTGGACGTTTGAGCTTAGGGACACCTTGTCCCAGAATCTTTCAAGGATCACGAGCCCTTATCCCCAGCATCCAACCCACTGTCAAAAACCACGGCAAACCCCTGTCGCTTTGACTAGACACGACCCCAACGCCTCTTAGACAACCCCAAGCCGTACGAAGCTGAGCAAAAAAAGCTGCCGACGTAGCATCCCTAAACCCTGAACCCTAAACCCTAAACCCTAAACCTTCTGCCCAGCAGTGTCCAGGGGCTTCCTGCCTTGGTCCTGCGATCATGCACCTGGGCTTAAGGGCCACCAGGGCCAGCAGAATCCTTGTGAAGCCCTGTAAGGTTGGTTGGGTGGTTGGGGTTGGGGGTTGGGGGGGGGGGGGGGGTTTAGGGTTTAGGGTTTAGGGTTTGGGTTTGGGGTTTGGGGTTTGGGGTTTGGGGTTGGGGGGGGGGGGCGGGGGTTGGGGTTGGGGGGGGGGGGGGGGGGGGTGGGGTGTTAAGCTCACTTGCTTGAGTTCATGGTTGGTGTTGGCTTTGTGCGCTGGCCTGTCTTCGAGGAGGCGCCTTATTTAAAGCCTTCGAGAAAGGACATCCTTGAAATTATTGCTAAGCCCACAGAATGGGGTGTGGAAGGGGAAACCGGGTCAGCATGGGCCGCCTGAGCCTGGCACTCTGCACCGGTGACTTGCTCATTCCTAAACCGGTTTCCGGTTTGGGTGAAAGTGGGGTGTGCTGGATTGACGATGATTCAGGATGTAAAATGTTTAGGAGAAGTTCAGGAGAAGTGCTGACTGTAGAAGCTTCAGGTTTACTATCTCGCTGTAAGTAGCAAAAAATCTTAAAGCTCTCTCAGCCCCCAACCCTGTCGGACTCAGGATAGCAGCGCGGCGGAAAATGCAACAGCTGACTGGCAAACCCGATGACCTTTTTTGGATCCTTTGCCTGCACCGAGAACCCCCACCAAAAGCTGCAGTCAAGAGGTTTGATCTCCGGCAGGGTTTGGTGGAGCGTGCTGCTTCAGCGTTCAGGCATCAGGTCTAGCGCCAGGGTAGGACATGATGGGATAAGCAAGGCTCACAGGTGCAGAGTTGAGTGAAACGAGATCCCCCCTGAAGCTAAGCCAAGAATTCAATTCGCTGGGCCTCTCCGGGCATCATATGTGGGATTGGGCACTCTAGGGGATCTTCTGCGGATCTCTGTAGCATTCTGTGGGGGTGGACACGCCAGAAATTCTCTGGCGGGTCACTCCACCTGTCAGGAAACCTTGGCGAGGAGAAGAAACGAGTTTAAGATCCGGTTCCACCTGCCCTTCGCAAGAACATGGTTCCCCCCTCCCAACACCCTACCCCGCCCCCCAACCCTAAACCCTAAACCCTAAACCCTAAACCCTAAACCCTAAACCCTAAACCCTAAACCCTAAACCCCCCCCAACCCTAAGCACAGGATCGGCGAGATCGGTTGGTCATCGCCGCGGGCGCAAGCGCTGCACACAGAGATGAAGCGCTGCCAAGAGCCCTTCAGAGCAATGATGTAGGGTTGAGGGTTTAGGGTTTAGGGTTTGGCGCCTTTGGGGTCTGAGGGGAGGGAAGGGGAGAGAAGGGGAGGGAAGGGGAGGGAAGGGAAGGGCAGGGAAGGGGAGGGAAGGGGAGGGAAGGGGAGGGAAGGAGGGAAGGAAAGAACTAAGGAAGGAACGAAGAAGGAAGGAACGAAGGAAGGATGAAAGCAAGCAAGCAAGCAAGCAGGCAAGCAAGAGGTCGGACTCCAGCAACTACCAGTCCAAGAAGCAAAACCCTCAATCCGACGGCCGGTGGCAACACTCTTATGTTGTTTTCTTCGTATATAGTTCATGGGAGCCTGCATATCACAATGGTTCTCTCACGAAATGCCGATGGCGACACTACTGGCTATAAGCTGGTTATAACCATAGCGAAAGGTATAACCAAGTTAGTCAGAGAAACACGCCATACATCAGATCTTCGCTCGTGTCAAGAATAGAACGTATGGCACAGTACCCTTGATGGTCTCAGTTCCTGCAAATGGCTTATGTTCAACTCACTCAAAGGTCGGTCAACTATCCGGCCGCTCAATCTTCAATCATAAATTTCAGGCCAGAAGTAATTTGTGTGCATGCTTTTGGTATATCTTCATTATGGGCGTGATATAGAAGCATAATCGACAAACATTACCAGAAGCAGCATTTGTGTCGTTCTTTCTACTTTTCGCAAAATTTAATCAGTGAAATATACTAGCCCCAAAGTCCTTAATTTCACTATCCTTTACGGGGCCCGTTTTTCTAATGCTGACTAAGGGTCCACAGACTACGTTGGTAGTTTTCGCCTTTCTTGTTCTGTCTCTCGCTTTCATTGAAGGGAAGCAGAAGAGCGTTTTTGTCGCAAATTCCAAACTGCCAACTGGGCAAAAGGCCCATCTAATATCGCCACGTAATCACGTGCCGAATGGGTGGTTTTTTGCATGAAGAGAATGTAATGGATAAAGTTCGCGAAGATACAAATTAAAGTTTAGCGTAGTTCGTAGGGAACTTATTGTACTTCAATTACACTGGCTCAAAAGACTTGTTAAGACCAGCGAACGTAAAAGGCCCAAGTTAATAATGTCAAAGTATGGGGCTGTGCAGCGAATTAAAAGGAAGGATTTTTGGATTCGCTTCGAGCACCGTGCATCGACTGTCCCAGTAGCTGTCCTGTATTCTCTTCCAATATTCCCAGCCATTTGGATATGATCACTGATTGAAGAAAATAATTTGGGGTGGGGAGGGCGGGGGTTGGGGGGTGGGGTGGGCGGTATAGCTTCATAAGCTTAATTCATGTAGTTCTCCGTTATGTCTCATTACATGGGCTAAATGCGGCGAAGTGGTAAAACACGAAGATCAAGCTTGCAATCGATTGACTGTATCCACGTGGGTTTCGCTCGTAACGCAGTCTGAGTACTCCAGATTCATTCTTGAAATCTGGAGTTTGGAGGTGCTCCAGGTTTCATTCTGGAAATTTTGGAGTCTG